CCACCCCGGACCTTACAATTTTGTCCAAAAAGTGGGGATTTTCAAATATTTACAAGATTTGCCCCGATGCCCCTACAGAAGCTCGAAGGGGGTCATACTCCATCTCATGACATATGGGAACATCAATTGTGAAGAAACTAGTCTATTGAAATATTTTCACTTTTTATCTCAAAAAATGCTTAACCACCCCGGACCTTACAATTTTGTCTAAAAAGTGGGGTTATTCAAATATTTACAAGATTTGCCCCGATGCCCCTACAGAGGCTCACAGGGGGTCATACTCCATTTCATGACATATGGAAGTATCAATTGTGAAGAAATTTGTCCATTGAAATATTTTCACTATTTATCTCAAAAAATGCTGAACCACTCCGGACCTTACAATTTTGTCCAAAAAGTGGGGTTTTTCAAATATTTACAAGATTTACCCCGATGCCCCTGTAGAAGCGAAACGGGGGTCATATTCCATCTCATTGCATTTAGGGACATTAATTGTGAGAAAATTAGGTTACTTGTACACAAATTTTTTCATTTGATAAATTCACTTTTTCCTCCAAAAAATGCTGAACTAATCCCTTGCCATTTTGTCCAAAAAGTGGGGATTTTCAAATATTTACAAGATTTGCCCCGATGCCCCTACAGAAGCTCACAGGGGGTCATACTCCATCTCATGACATATGGGAACATCAATTGTGAAGAAACTAGTATATTGAAATATTTTCACTTTTTATCTCAAAAAATGCTTAACCACTCCGGACCTTACAATTTTGTCCAAAAAGTGGGGTTTTTCAAATATTTACAAGATTTGCCCCGAAGCCCCTACAGAAGTGCAACGGGGGTCATACTCCATCTCATGACATAAGGGAACATCCATTGTGAAGAAACTAGTCTATTGAATTATTTTCACTTTTTATCTCAAAAAATGCTTAACCACCCCGGACCTTACAATTTTGTCCAAAAAGTGGGGATTTTCAAATATTTACAAGATTTGCCCCGATGCCCCTACAGAAGCTCGAAGGGGGTTATACTCCATCTCATGACATATGGGAACATCAATAGTGAAGAAACTAGTCTATTGAAATATTTTCACTTTTTATCTCAAAAAATGCTTAACCACCCCGGACCTTACAATTTTGTCCAAAAAGTGGGGATTTTCAAATATTTACAAGATTTGCCCCGATGCCCCTACAGAAGCTCGAAGGGGGTCATACTCCATCTCATGACATATGGGAACATCAATTGTGAAGAAACTAGTCTATTGAAATATTTTCACTTTTTATCTCAAAAAATGCTGAACCACTCCGGACCTTACAATTTTGTCCAAAAAGTGGGGTTTTTCAAATATTTACAAGATTTACCCCGATGCCCCTGTAGAAGCGAAACGGGGGTCATATTCCATCTCATTGCATTTAGGGACATTTATTGTGAGAAAATTAGGCTACTGTACACAAATTTTTTCATTTGATAAATTAACTTTTTCCTCCAAAAAATGCTGAACTTAATCCCTTGCCATTTTGTCCAAAAAGTGGGGTTTTTCAAATATTTACAAGATTTGCCCCGATGCCCCTACAGAAGCTCGAAGGGGGTCATACTCCATCTCATGACATATGGGAACATCAATAGTGAAGAAACTAGTCTATTGAAATATTTTCACTTTTTATCTCAAAAAATGCTTAACCACTCCGGACCTTACAATTTTGTCCAAAAAGTGGGGATTTTTAAATATTTACAAGATTTGCCCCGATGCCCCTGTAGAAGCGAAACGGGGGTCATATTCCATCTCATTGCATTTAGGGACATTTATTGCGAGAAAATTAGGCTACTGTACACAAATTTTTTCATTTCATAAATTCACTTTTTCCTCCAAAAAATGCTGAACTAATCCCTTGCCATTTTGTCCAAAAAGTGGGGTTTTTCAAATATTTACAAGATTTGCCCCGATGCCCCTACAGAAGCTCGAAGGGGGTCATACTCCATCTCATGACATATGGGAACATCAATTGTGAAGAAACTAGTCTATTGAAATATTTTCACTTTTTATCTCAAAAAATGCTTAACCACCCCGGACCTTACAATTTTGTCCAAAAAGTGGGGATTTTCAAATATTTACAAGATTTGCCCCGATGCCCCTACAGAAGCTCACAGGGGGTCAAACTCCATCTCATGACATATGGGAACATCAATTGTGAAGAAACTAGTCTATTGAAATATTTTCACTTTTTATCTCAAAAAATGCTTAACCACTCCGGACCTTACAATTTTGTCCAAAAAGTGGGGTTTTTCAAATATTTACAAGATTTACCCCGATGCCCCTGTAGAAGCGAAACGGGGGTCATATTCCATCTCATTGCATTTAGGGACATTTATTGTGAGAAAATTAGGCTACTGTACACAAATTTTTTCATTTGATAAATTCACTTTTTCCTCCAAAAAATGCTGAACTAATCCCTTGCCATTTTGTCCAAAAAGTGGGGTTTTTCAAATATTTACAAGATTTGCCCCGATGCCCCTACAGAAGCTCGAAGGGGGTCATACTCCATCCCATGACATATGGGAAGATCAATTGTGAAGAAACTAGTCTATTGAAATATTTTCACTTTTTATCTCAAAAAATGCTTAACCACCCCGACCTTACAATTTTGTTTAAAAAGTGGGGTTATTCAAATATTTACAAGATTTGCCCCGATGCCCCTACAGAGGCTCACAGGGGGTCATACTCCATTTCATGACATATGGAAGTATACAATTGTGAAGAAATCTTGTCCATTTGAAATATTTTCACTTTTTATCTCAAAAAATGCTTAACCACCCCGGACCTTACATATTTTGTCAAAAATTGTGGGGTTTTTCAAATATTTACAAGATTTGCCCCGATGCCCCTACAGAAGTGCAACGGGGGTCATACTCCATCTCATGACATATGGGAACATTAATTGTGAAGAAACTAGTCTATTGAATTATTTTCACTTTTTATCTCAAAAAATGCTTAAAGGTAAAGACCAGTTATTGTCATGCGATTGCATTGTGAAAGAAACGTTGTGGAATCGATCAGAAAAGGTTGATCATCTAGCATCTAGCATCTGCAAGGTTCTGGAATCATCAAAATAATAAGAAATTTGGCCCATTCTTCGTAAAATTACAAGCACTATACACAGAAAGATGTATATGGGACTACCCTATATCTCTCACAGACCATGAGAGAAACAAATTTATCAAATATATGAATTAGTAGGCGGTTTCCCGGCAAATTTTTTATCACCATGTATTAGTTAAAACATATTCTTTCACATGATTGGTAATGAGAGCTTCCATTTCATTCTTTGAAATTGGGGCGTTTCCAATACTGGTCTTTACCTTTAACCACTCCGGACCTTACAATTTTGTCCAAAAACTGAGGTTTTTCAAATATTTTGAAGATTTGCCCCTATGCCCATACAGAAGCTCAAAGGGGGTCATACTCCATCTCATGACATATGGGAACATCAATTGTGAAGAAACTAGTCTATTGAATTATTTTCACTTTTTATCTCAAAAAATGCTTAACCACTCCGGACCTTACAATTTTGTCCAAAAAGTGAGGTTTTCAAATATTTACAAGATTTGCCCCGATGCCCCTGTAGAAGCGAAACGGGGGTCATATTCCATCTCATTGCATTTAGGGACATTTATTGTGAGAAAATTAGGCTACTGTACACAAATTTTTTCATTTGATAAATTCACTTTTTTCCTCCAAAAAATGCTGAACTAATCCCCTGCCATTTTGTCAAAAAAGTGGGGTTTTTCAAATATTTACAAGATTTGCCCCGATGCCCCTGTAAAAGCAAAACGGGGTTCATATTCCATTTCATTGCATTTAGGGACATTTATTATGAGAAAATTAGGCTACTGTACACAATTTTTTTCATTTGATAAATTCACTTTTCCTCCAAAAAATGCTGAACTAATAATCCCTTGTCATTTTGTGCAAAAAGTGGGTTTTTCAAATATTTTCAAGATTTGTCCGTATGCCCCTACAGAAGCTCAAAGGGGGTCATACTCCATCTCATGACATATGAGAACATCCATTGTGAAGAAACTAGTCTATTGCATTATTTTCACTTTTTATCTCAAAAAATGCTTAACCACTCCGGACCTTACAATTTCGTCAAAACAGTGGGGGTTTTCAAATATTTACAAGATTTGTTCCTATGCCCCTACAGAAGTGCAACGGGGGTTTATACTCCATCTCATGACATATGGGAACATTAATTGTGAACTAGTCTATTGAATTATTTTCACTTTTTATCTCAAAAAATGCTTAGCCACTTCGGACCTTACAATTTTGTCCAAAAAGTGGGTTTTTTTAAATATTTACAAGATTTGCCTTGATGCCCCTGTAGAAGTGCAACGGGGGTCATACTCCATCTCATGACATATAGGGACATTATTTATGAGGAAACAAGTCTGTTGAATTTTTTTCACTATTCATCTCAAAAAATGCTTAACCACTCCGGCCCTTACCATTTTGTCGAAAAAGTGTTTTTTTTTAATATTTACAAGATTTGTCCCTATGCCCCTGTAGATGCACAACGGGGGTTAAACACCATCTCATGACATATGGAGACATTAATTGTGAAGAAATTAGGCTATTCAAATAGTTACACTTTTCATCACAATTTTGGCATCTTGCTGAGAGATATCCAAAAATCAGTGTTTTTCAATCAAAATTGGCAATTTTTACAACTTTGTGACATCCTCGACCATGTTTATTGTTTTCAGAGATATTTCATTTGATTTGTAACAAATGTAGCAAAATAAGAAGAGTATTAAAGTGTATCTGCCATAGTTTACAGGAGGGATTAGACTGCCCTGCAAGGTCACTGGACAGGTGGTTATCTCATCAACTCAGCTCTCAGTTAACATAGGAAAAAGAGGATCATGGGGGACCAATGGTCACCGATTAAGCATGGTTTGTTATATAGAGGGCGCAAGTAGCTACAAGTAGTGTAGTGGGCCTTTAATGTTATCAATTTGAAGAATATGTGATCAGTTGAGCCCTAAAAGTCAATCGTGTCATGAAAGGGGTAAACATACCTTCTGTGTGCTTGGTGAGTCTGAATGTTTCCTCTTTTTCCTGATGGCGAGGGTAGGATGGTTAAGATGAGAGGTGAAAGTACAGGCCATCTCCTGACGAATGCAGCGCTGCTGGACACGCATCATCTTTAGATCTATGCTCTGAGAATCGGGTGTTTCCCTGCAGAAGCTACAAAATAAATATTGATAAACTTAAAAGTAAAACAAAGTTTTGGGAAATTTTGAAAATTGGGTAGATAGTGATTCTGCACAATTTTGATATAATTGGATACCCCTGTGGATGTATTATAAGCACTAGAAAATTTAGCCCCTAAAATAATTCGCTTTTGAGAAAAATTGAATATCAACATTTATCAGTGCTCCCGGTAAATTTTGATAAATTTCAAATAGCTCCTACGGCCGCACAATGGTAGCTGCGGCCATGAAAATCTCAGAATATGTAGTTGTGATATATAATTTCCAAATGGAAATAGCTAATCGGTCGATTTTAAACAGGGAAAAATTGTTTTATACCCTAATTAATATCTTGACATTGAGAGGGAGCTATACAACATAATTATTTAAAATTTCATAACTTTAGACTTGATTTCAACCACGGCAACGATCACTAAATATTGCAGGATCGCATATGCTTCCAATATGTTCATTTGAACCAAATTCATGACCCCATACCAAAACTTTGTATTGCCTTTAAATAACTGCATGTGAATATAAATACATCTAAACTGCAAGAAATGTCTGAAAAGATTGTTTTAAACAAACAAAGAAACCATGCACCAGCTGTGGTGTTACCATCCCCCAAACCAAACCAAACCAACACAGGGTGGAAGCTCTGAACTCTCCGAACATCTCCAGAAACAATGAAGTTTGAACAAGACCATTTAATACAACAATAACTTTAAAACACATACTGCAGAGCTAAACACTCAAGGAAATTGAAATTTCAATAACTATTCCATTATGGGGTAGAGTATGACCCTTTTGTTTTTGACAAAATTCTTGATCCGAATAAATTATTTAAATTGAATTGAATTGAATCGACTTCTTAAATTCAACCTGTAGGAGACTTTTTTTCTTATAATTGAAAACTACCTAGCGTAGCGCGCCCGGTATTCGGTAACTTAAGGGGAAATCGCTGATATTTTGAATTCTTACCTCCTTTATTTGGCAATCTACCCATCAAAAGAAAAGAAAATTAGTCAGGATTTTAAAGTCACTTAAAATATAGAATAACGAAGAGCAAAATATTTCTGAAAGAAGAAGGAGCAGTTTTCTGCCCAGAATTCGGTCGCGGCAAATAGAATTCGGTCACACGGTTTGGGCATGGTATCTCCGTTGAGGAGCGAAGCGTATTTGCGCACTATTTTCACACAATTGCGCGACAAAGCACTGAATGTCAATGCGTTGACCGAATACTGGGAGAGCGCTACCGCATGGCAAGGGTATTGTATAAATACCTCTTGCACATCGGCGAGTGCGTCATTTGCAAATTCGCTGCGATGGAGTGAACACGGAAGTGATACTCTTCACACACATACTAAATTCATTGCATCAGCACACGTAGTTGTTTCACAATAGACTTCTACATATGGCTATGCATGTTAGCGCATGTGTTAACAGAACCGGAAGTGCAGAAAGTTGTTAAGTTGGAGATCTTTCCGGGGCCCTATACCTGATTTAATTTTGAGAGTTAGGATAAGTTAATCAGCTGCCTGATTTAGGCAAGTTTCGCGGCTCATTAAATATGTTTTAAAATTGTTACAGCTGTTTAAACGGCTGTCTGACCGAATACTGGTAATTGACCGAATACCAGGCGCGCTACCCTATATCAGTTTTCTAATCAGTAGTGCTGTAATAGTGAGACTGAATTATACTCTGTACATAAACACAGAAGGCAGCTATTTTAACGGTAGAACTTTCCAAAGAAGTGTTACACTCACTGCATGCCATGATATTTGAGTTTAAGCGAATCTGAAAACCCTGTTTCCATCAGCTCCTGGACAGATGGCCCATTGTTGTGATGTCCAGCTGCCGATGACCGGGTCCTTGGACTATGTCTGACACCAGAGGGTGGGACAAGGACCAGCTCGTCTCGCTTAGGCTGACCGTTGGGCTTGAAATGACTACGGAACTCTTTGGCACTCAAGGTGATTGCTAGTGAATAAAAGGAATTTTTTAAAATTCTAATTTCAACAAAGTTGAATACAAATCAAGTTTTTTTTTTTTAATCTGAGAAAAAAAAAATCCTGAACAAATAAACAATATTTTTGGTTACTTCTTTATAACACGTTGTATGAGTATGTGACTGACACAGATTAGGGCCCCTTCTAAATAAACCTTGTCAATGCTGAATATCAATGAGAAAATTGCTCACAACCAGTTAAACAAATTTCAATAGCTTATATCATCTATTTTAACTTGTTACTGATATCAGTTTCATGAAATAGGGGCTAAGTCCTCTAATACACATGTTAAATGATTGATGCAATGATGAGGCTTGTTGATTTGTTAGATCACTACATTATATATAATCAACAGCACTTAAAACAATCTTTTTAACCCACTGAATATGATTTTGATTTTGCCTAATACATATTTCTATGGACTCCAGCCCAAGTTATGTCTGGCTTTAGTATTCAATAGGTTAAGAAAAAATCTAAACCCCCCTCACATTCGCCTACAGTTTGGCTAATTATACATTTCACTATGAACATGACGGACAAAGAAAGCGGACAAAATATACAGTTCCTCATTCTACCCTCAACAATCGCTGTGGTAGACAAAGAAACATCCCTTCACTGCTATTATGTAAAACTAAGTAGCACAGGTGAATATGCATGTGACACCTGTTCTACACATTTTTACATAATACTAGTGAAGGGATGTTTCTTTGTCAACCACAGCAATTGTTGAGGGTAGAATGAGGAACTGTAATATATTTTGTCCGCTTTCTTTGTCCGTCATGTTCATAGTGTTTAGCTCTATATACAGCTTGAATGGAAGGTCCTTACTGTTATTGCAGACTGTGGATGGTACAGAGAACCCTCCTAAGGTTAGATCTTCTGACCCGAGTCTTCTTAGACGGTTGGCGATAGACTCCCGGTTCTGCAAGGCCTGCCTCTCCACCCATTGGGAAGGACTCTGAGTTAATTCTATGGATAGATAGATCCAGGAAAGAAGAGCAATGGAAATAGGAAATCCTTACAACAAACAGGCATCGTTAAAACCTCAAAGTATTTTGGGTCCTATCTCAGTGTACTGTATTCAAAATACAGGCTTCAATATTACTTCTGTCAAGAGTAACTGCAAGTTTAAATACTTTCTAACTGAAGGTACAAGCTATTTTTCAGGGTGCAAGGACACACAACCTCCCAGACACCCCAACACTCACAAATGCAAAGCTCTTCAGTATTTATGTCATTTTAAGACCAAACCTAACATCGGTTTGAGTCATTTCTGAAATTCTAAAATTAAAAAAATGTAGAGAATGCCAGTCACCTGTTTCCCTTACAAGCTATCAACCTTCTTTTTGATATAAACTTCAATTGACTAAAATATAATAACTAGACCTACCTGTTGGTAAACTACTGAGGTCTATCCTAGTCGGTCTGGGCTCGTTTACACTCTCAGTTTGAGCCAGGCCACTCCCATCTATCCTCTCTCCACCCGTAGCTACCGCTCCATGTCCAATCTGTGTCTGTGAGGGCGCTCCTCGTTCCGATGATGCGATGGAAGTGTCCTCTGAAGGGCTTTGAGTTGTAGGGCTGGATATGTCATCACTGATGCTGTATCCTTCGTAGAACACCTTTCTTGTGTAGTTGAAGAGGAAAATGAGGAGCGATGGTGTCACGTTGATCTCAAGCCCCTCTGAACGGATTTTCTCTGTCATTGATAAAACAAAAAGAATGAAATGTTTATAACTTATTCATATTGGTTATGAGTCAATTTTGCAAGGGGTAATCAAAAGAGTATCTGGTCATGTCTGTGCTGATCTTGTATATTGATTTCCCCACTGACCACTAATATAATGCAACAAGATTGGGTAGAGGTACGTGTTAGGAGTGAGAAATTTGACAAAGTCACTTAAACATTTCAAAATTGTTTCTTACATACCAGCATACCAGATTATTGCACTATTATAACAACACAGACTACTGATTGTTGTTGTGACAATCATATCAAATGGATTTATATTGGGCAGAGGTAGGAGGCGCGATGGCTAAGTGGTAGAGCAGTAGGTTATGGGTTTGAAAGCAAGTCAATGCGCTCATGCCCTTTGATAAGGCATTAATCCTCATAACCAAGTCCCTCAGAGAGGACTTAAAGCCATTGGTCCCCTGGTTCCTTACTTACATGCATATAATGCTTTCTTAGCCGTCTTGTAAAACAATTATCATCATCGAACAATTCAATATATCTTTACCAACATACTGTGATATAAAGAGAAGAGGGTGCTTCACTAGATCTTAGATCAGGCTTCATGGCAGCAATGGTTTATCTTTCGTCCATCATTGAGTGTTACATGGTCAAGTAGAAGACATAAGCACTTTACACGTTGAAGTAAATGAACGTTGATTTCCTTTTCAAGGAGAATTCGCCTCTAAATATGAAATTTCTGAAATCCTCCATGCTTGGTATCAATAGCATCAAATGGTATCATGCACTGTTTATGCTACCAGCGGTACAACCAATCTGACAAGTACAGTTAAACCTGCTTAAGTGACCACCTGTCTACAAAGATAACATTTTTGGTTCCCTTGAAAATGGTTCCTCATTGAAACATGCACTATAGGAACCTGTCTACAAAGACCACTTTTTGTGTTCCCTTGGGGGGTCGCTATAGACAGGTATATTATTCAGTTTACAGAACCTACACGCAACTTCTAAGAAAATTCTTACCTATAACCATTGCTAGTGCTTTGACCTGCATCTTGGCTAGTTCCTCTTCCTCCTCGCCTAACTGACGGCCGCTGATGGTGGAGAGAGAGTTCAACACCTCCCTCGCAGGTTGGGCTACTTCTACAGATATAGATAGATCAAGCAATAAAGAAAGTTGTAAGAATTGTAAGTGAAACCTTTTAATAATTTTCATCTGATAAATATTAAGATGGATTAACATCAGACATCAGAATTATTGGAACTGTTAATGTCTATACAGAGTCAGAGTCTCTCTCTCTCTTTCTTCTCTCTCTGTCACTCTTTAAACATCACATACAGATGCAGCATAGGATGTACACTTTTATTGTAAAAAAGTAAAAGAAAGCATAATTGGGGAAAACCTCATTATATGTGCTCATGGGTTCATAACATTTGAGGCTCAAAGAAATTCTATTCATGTGTTGCAAATTTACTACATTTGAATTTTTTAATAAATTTTATTAATTTCAAACTATTTATTTCTTAGACTTTTAGGAAAAATATGTTTTGAAATTAATTTCTGCACAAGCAGAATCTCAATGTGTTGTACGCAACATACCTTCATCTTGAGTGGAACGTTCCTCTTCTTCATGGCAAGCTAATAAGGCATGGGCTGCTCCATTCAGCATAAAGGGGGAGACAAGCGGCAGGGCTATACACCTCCCTCTCCTGTCCCCATGGACCAGGAAGAAGAATGTATGCCGAGTGCCTTTCAATTGCACATTAGGAACTGCGATTCAAACCAGACGGAAAACACTTGTCAACTATACATGGGAACATTACAATGTGTCAACAAATCGAGCATGATAGACATGAAATACATGTATAACTTTGTCAAAGATGATTCAATTTGGGTTAAATGTTTTCCTCTCTTGGTCTTAGACAGTTGTTATATATCTCTTTGATAGTTTCTATACTGGTAATCATCAAGATGGAATGCAGAAATGGGAAATTTGGTTTCAGAATCTTAATCTTTTATACAATGAAACCGTCCCAGAACTACTGAAGTCAATAAGCAATAAGTACTACATATGTGTATACAAAGACATATGTATTTAAAAAGTGTCACATAACGCACAATATCTTTTATTTACTGTGCACATGGAGTTTCATCTACTGCTATGATTCAAGTTGAGATTATATTTCTTCTATTCAACAGTAAAAGAACTAAAGAGCTTACAGTCATTGTTCCTGTTTACAACATATTCAACCACTTAAAATATACCTTAAAGTAAGGCTGTGCAGAACAGTGTAATGAGGTACCCGAGTACACTCCCAGGCTTACAAGCGAATACTCGAATATTCGGATGCCATGTTTTTTAATAATTTTTTTGATTTTTTTTTTGAATTTTTTTGAATTTTTTTGAATTTTTTTGATTTTTTTTTTTTTTTTTGCCACCACCATACCTTTGGAGAAGTATCCCAGTTCTGTCACCGAAAAAACATGCAATTTTACTTTGAGTTGCAGTTGAAGGCGCCGATTTAATAATAATAATAACAGTAAACAATGCTGTTTTAAAAACCAAAGATGGCAGAATAATCCATTTTCCTACAAGTTCAAACAGAAATCCAGACATTTGGTCCCAGTTTCTGAGTGGTGAGTTTGACAGTGCTTGAGTTGGGAAACATTTTTACCGACAGCATCATGCCAGCGGCTGCCGCTAACCCAGGCACGGGTAAGCGTCGGCCTGGACAGATTTTTTTTTTTTTGCGGCCGAATATTCGGGTACTAGAAATCGTACCCGAGTAGTTGTCAACCGTGCGGGTACTCGAGCATTCGACTACACGTCGTAGCCCTACCTTAAAGTTATCACCCAAAGAATCAAAAGTGTTTTGAATTGATGCAAAATTCATATCATTGCGAAGGGGAAGCCTTACTGATCAAATTTAACGACTTCCCTCTTCAAAATATGTTTGGGGCCCGCAGTGATCATCTCTCAACATTTTTTAGATCCAGATTTGCTGCCTTCAGCAGTCCTCCGTAGAGCGTCAAGATTTGTGAAGTCACATGCGAGATACAGCTAGCCACAAAATTGCATATTAAGCCTTTCCATGATATCTATATGATTTTTCAGCAAATTCTTCGTGTTTTTCATGAGAAAATCTTTCCATCCATATATAATTTGTCCATAATTATCAGTTGTTGTGAATTTTCTTCGGGTGACTACTTTAAGACAGTTTTTTTTCTTCTTCAAGGTATGATATGAGCACTACTCAACATCATCTTCATACAATTACCTGTAGGATGGAGTGGATCAGAGGTGATGTCACTAGTCCAGACCTGGGTACTCAGGCCTACACTCTGTGCCTCTGGAACAGGACCATCTACCTCCAGACAGCTCAGCTGACATATAGCTCCCTGACCATCACCGGGCAACCGATGGGTCAGGTAGCGCATCCAGAACCGTGATCGAGAGTAGCGCTGGCGCTTCTCTTTATCTCTCAGCCGTCTGATTGCAGGATAGTCAAGGACCTTCAACATTTATTAATCTTAGAAATGCACTTTTATTTGTTTTTCTTACCTACAATAAAATAAAATAAAATATAGGCACTTATACTGTGTTCTACCAGTAATTGTATCACAGCTCTTTACAAGCGTTTTACAGCTCTCTTATTTTTTATTATTTATTATAGTTTTATTTCGACAGGGTGGTTTCTCTTCACCTTGATGATTAGAGAAATACAGTTAAGATCTGCCAATGATCTATCAGACATTAATTTGACAAGATGGTAGCTCTGATATTTTGGCTTCTTTTTTTCTACAAATTTTGGTTTCCAATCTCAGGGATACAAGCCTTTTAAGAAATGAGAAATTAAATACATTTTATTTTCATTCCTTAAAAGGCCTAAAAGTCCCTGAATGAGGAGCTCACATTTTTGGAGGACAACAAACATCCATAATATTTTATTTTACTTCCTCTTCCAGAAGAATCAACCAAGAAAACAGCTCAAATGCAGCAGCATCTTCACTATACCATTAGAATTTCAAATGCCATTCAGCAGTTAAGAGCAGATCTAATTTGTGGTTATTTAATCAATCTTCCATTTGGAGCCAGGAGGGCATTAACTCTGAGTATCATAATATGACTTTGATGGCAAAATTTCACTTAAATTTGTATCATAATATGAATAGGATGTCATTTAAGACGCATTTCTGCAAGGATTTTCAAAACAAATGTGTTTGAAGTCGAATATTGATAAAAGAATACAAAACCCAAATTTGTATTCTGTTATCAATATTTGTCTTCAAACACATTTTTTTTTTTTGGGAGGGGGGGGGGGGATCTATGCAGAAGTGCATATTAAATGACATCCTCTTTCACATTATGATACAATTTTACCGGTAAGTGAAATTTTGCCATCAAATTTTGGAAAATTTGAGGCTCCCAACATATTCTCTATAAGAAATTGTCATTTTGTAGTTATTAGTGATGTATAAGATTCAATAAAAAAGGATACAGTTCAAATTTTCCGGGCAAGATGAACCAAGATGGGATCTCATGCAGATTGGCAAGATGCATGAATTCTAGGGTCTCGTTGACGACATACTTGGACTATTTGGAAGGAAATGAAGAAGGAAAAAATGTTAAGAGAATGTATTGAATAAATGATGGAAACTTTTCCATTTATTACATACGGTAACACAGTGTTGTCAATGCTTTAATAAGTCTTGCAAAAGCGAGAGAGTTGAGAAAGTACCGTGTATATAAAGATGGGAGAAAAAAATCGAGAACAAAATCAAGTGAGAGATGAAGATAGAAACAGATAAAAGAGAGGTATTCATATTCATTGAATTTGTTTAAACAAAATATAAGCCTTGGCTGGAAACTATATTTCAGAAATTGCGGAGACAGAGGCGGACAGAAAGAAAGAGAGATGACATGAGTGACAAAGGCCCTAGACATTCAATTATGCTCTCATTTCATTACTTTTTGCAGCGTCACACATTTGCTGAACTATTTTACAAATGCAAGGTAAAGGATTTCATAAATATCAAACATAATCATTACCTTTAATTCATGGTTTGATAGCGAAATGAAAGAGTCATCCATTGAAGGCTGGCTACCAGTGGCGTCTTGCTGAGGATTAGCGTTGGGATTGAGAATCTCAATGAAAGGCTCTGATCTATGGCTGTCATCGGCAAGACGATGCAGACTGAACCCTGGCCATGGGGGAAAGGCTGTACCCTGGTGGAAACACATGAGATAAACTTGCAAACTTACATCAAAACATAAACAAAGGTCCTTTTAGTTATTAAACAGCACCATTCGGCCATTGCTTAAAAAAATATTCTAGCTTTTAATTTTGTAATGGATTGTACAGACCTGGTGGAAACTATCTTGAAGATTAAAAGTGGTCCAGAGCAAAAGCTCAAGAAAATTTACCACAAGTATTTTGACATAACTATATTATCTTCACACCTTATGCGTATCATTTGCTATAAATTTGTTATGTAAGTAAAGGTTAAATGATGATATAATGCAAGTTTGGTTAATAAAAAGTCAAGGAAAGCAAAAATATCTCATATTTCAGTAAAAACCAAGGTTAATCAGAATCTTGTGCCATAACTTGCTCTACTTACCGTATATTTATATAGCTCGTTTGCCAAACTGGATGTTAAATATATCCCAGAAATTTCTGTTTCACGTTGCACTGAATCATCCATACCATCACTTTTGTTGACAACATTACTTTGTATTTTTGCATTTGTTCAACTAATGCTTTCAGAAGAATATTATGAAAATGTTGAGAAAAAAATAGAATTGAACTCGAAAAGGGTTCAATGAATAGACACTTACTCTACTTGAGATGTACTTGACTTGACCTTGCCATGCCAGAGAGGCAGACTGTGACAAGATATCCTCCACCTTGGTGTCCGTGCCGTCCGGTGACGCCCTCAGCTCCACCACCCTGCTCTCGATGAAGGTCTTCCAGTGGACGAGGGAGGGGTGGTCTATGCCCTCCAGACCCTTCCCTAGCATGATGGTCACCCGAGCATTGTGCCACACCTCCAGGCGTCGCAGCACGGAGAAGAGGAAGGCGTCCGGCCGCTCTAGGATGGGGAAGTCGGTGATGGTGGGCATGAGCCAAACGACATCTAGGAGATAGCCTAAAGACATAGAGATAGAAAACCTCAAAGTAATCATACATTACATTACTACATCTATTATTACTACTATAAATAATACTATGAATAAATATAATAAACGATAATAATAATAACATTGACAATAATAAAAGCAGTAGTTGTGATGATGATGATGATAACAATGATTATAATTTAAACAATCATAGTGATAAAAACAAAAATAACAATTAAAAAAATGTTGATTGATGACTGTGATGGTCCTGCTAATAAGAGATGAATTTATAAAGAGATTGTTAGTGGGAAGTGTCAAATACTAACCTCCAACAGGGAGTTCATCTGCAATATTATCCAGCTCAGATGCTACCAATCCTGTGTACTCTCTGTTGAGAAAAAGAAAAGAGAACAGAAAAGAAATGTACAATACTCTCAAAAGCTATTATCCTCATTATCAAATAGTATTTAAGGATGGAGATTTGCATTATCATTAATGTGCAGGCAATCGTGTAACCTCAAGATAATCTGAAATACTATTGACAAAACTCCAAAAGACATACATGTATAACTTTTCCTATTCAATTCACGTAGATCTATGAGCATGTGCAGTTTTATCAAATTATCACGTATCACTGTTATCTTCTCTCATGCCTTCAAATTAAGACTAGTTTTAAACTTGTAATTCTTTGCCAGCTGTTACCAACTTCGACATCTAGACCAGCGGCGGATCCAGATGGTAACTATAATTTACTCTCTTCTTTTTTTTTGCTCAAGGAGGGGGGGTATTGAGTAAAAAAAAAATTAAAATTCCCCCTCCCCTTTGCGGTCGACTGGATCCGCCCCTGATCTAGACGTCTCAAGTTTTAAAAAAACAAACATAGTCCTGCCTCACCTCATTTTAGTTACGGAAAGACTTTCCATGTTGCTTCTTGCTTTCCCAAACTTTTGTCTCATTTCGGCGAAGACCGCCTGCTGGCCGTCTTCATCGACTTCAATGTCCTGCTCGTGCACCCTGCTCCATCCGGAATGGAAGACAGTGTCTGCGGTGGTAGGTTCGGACGAGTCCTTGTATTCAGGCACAACAACGTTGATCCAAACGTTGTCAACGGGTCCGTGTTTGACAGTCTCAGGGCCGATGGAACTAGAAGATTCATTAGTAGTCCTTGTAGAGCGCTCAGGTGTAGGTAAATGACTGCATCTCTCCTCATTGGTGCACAAGGACTGGGCTAGACGCTGAAATACCTGTACATCTTCAGCTAGAAAGTGGAGAAAAAAATCATTGAAAAAATAGAATCATATGCCATTCTAGAAAAGCTAAAAATATCTTTTGACACAATGGATTTTTTTTATTAATAGTAAATGATACTGCAAAAATATAAAAATAAAACGTATTGGACTAGCTCTGACCGCAAATCCATATTCTGTTCATCTATTTTCACTTTTTAAACATAGACCTACGCTTTAAATGTGGTGTACCGTGTTATAAATGAACATTTGCAAAAGCCACATGCAGAGAGGACAAAATGTTCAAACAGATCTGACTAGATTCTAGATCTAGTGAAAAACTGCTGAATTCTGGGGGCAAGAAATTAATTGACTCATGATGACATGAATGCAAAGGCAAGTAGATCTATAATTACTAGACCTCTAAAGCAATTTATTAATGGATAATATCGGTCATGATTGGTCTTTACACATTACCATCATTCTATAAATAAACATCGTCTCCTTGAAACAATAATTCTTCATTCCGAATCGGAATGCAAATGAGTGGCCATGGCCCATGCCCATGGCATTGCATCGAGTCTTGACAATTCGCAATTTTGTGTCCTAATCATACTGGAAAATGAACGTGTGGGACTGATATGATTGTGAGACTTCAATAACATTATTTTGATCGGCTTCTGGTAAGTTACATCAACAGACATTAAATACTTACCTGATAACCATTCAGTACTGATAGCGATAATATATCTGGGGATCTGTAAGCTAAATTTGTAATAGGAATCCATTGAAGAAAATGGAGGTCTTAGTTGTCGTTTTCCTGTGTGTTTCGTCTATCGACGGATTATCGTAACTCGAGCTGATCTATATCTGAGCTGAGCGAGCGCGCGCATCATCATCCAGAAGGAGAAAAGGGAGGAGGAGGAGGATAAAGAGGAGAATGAAGAGGAAAATTAGGAAAAGGATGAGGATCGGAATGAAAAGGTGAAGGGGGATGAGAAAGAAAAGTTTAATGGGGGGGGGGGGGGAGACAGAGGAGGAAAAAAAGGAAGAAGGGGGACTGGAAGGAAGAAAGATATTGAAGAGGAATAAAATCTCAAACTTTCGGCGCACCTTAATTTGTTTCTCAGTTTCTTAACTTAATTTCCCTTTTGAATAAATTTAATTTAATATAATTTTTTTTCTTGATTATAAATGAATTTAAGCGAGGAATTTGGGAAAATGAGAAATGCAAGGACCTTATTAGCCTCACCCCAAAAACTATTGTTCTAAAACTGTGCCTGCTTTTCGGTAGTTTCCAAATTAAGATATTTAGAAGAACGTTACGTACTGCTATTTGTATGTATCCTATACGATATGCTCTTTTCTTTTGGTTTGTATTCCCTTTCCTAATATTCTCCTCTCCACTAATCTCATATTATATATTCTCTCTCTCTCTCTCTCTCTCTCTCTCTCTCTCTCTCTCTCTCTCTCTCTCTCTCTCTCTCTCTCTCCCTCCCTCTCTCTCTCTCTCTCTCTCTGATCTCTCTGTCAAAATCCAGTAGCTTATGGGGGGAGGGGGATAATCATTGGCTAATATTATATATATACTTGTTTGCTCATCAGAAAAATTTATAGCCAAACATCCAAAAAATACCCAGACAGCCCTGATCTTGCCTCATCTCCCCCCACTCCCCCCTGTCAGAACCTGCTTGATCTATATACCACTGAAATCCACATTAAACCTGGTAATTTATATAGCAAGCATGACACATCTCTTCTCATTCAACACTCAAAATTCTGAAATGATACCGTTAGGTATAACAGTGATGACCATGATTTTGATAGTCGATGGTACGTCAATGGTATTGATAATTATGATGAAGATGGTGATGATGATGATAAAATGATTAATAATGATAATGTGTATGATGATTTAATGATTACAATGATGGTGATGAACATTCAGAGCATTGATTACAGTATCATATTTCTTTTTTAACACTCAAAACAAAAGATAATGTTAATGAAACAAGATGTACAGCGGGTTGCAATTTCATATTCATTTATTTTTCACTTTATTATAATGCAATTATGATGAATAATTCAAACCATAAGCACTGGATGTTAGTAGCTGAATAACACTCTATGATTCGCCTCTTTTAAAACAAATTTTTGGCCAACTTCAGTAACGTACAATCAGCCTCACTTTCCAATATTAACAGAATCTTATGCTCCATAAGATAAGTGACTCATAACCTTTATTATTTACTGTGAATAGGAATAAATCCTTTTGTCATTAACATAATTTACCGTCTACTGAATAAAATGAGGGCATAGCTCTGTGTTACCATAGCCAGTAGTTGAGAGATAGTTGTGACACATGCACAACTACATCGTTGCCCATAAAATTTGAATAACATTTTCTGATCTCTTTTCCTGAATTTAAACATCCAATTTTATCATATCCTAATGAAAATTCACACATTTAGATACAAATTCATTTAAGATGAATGACGAAAAATTGACATAACGTTTTTCTCTTTGACAGATCAGTATGGGTGGAGTTTTAAAACATCACCCTCAAAAAGTCTGATCTAGCACCATACCATTGGCAAATTGTGAAAAAGTTGTTACGGTATATCAACATTTGAATAAAACAATTTAAAAAGTGATTCAATTAAAAAATGTTCATAGTTGAGCATTTATAGATTCTCTTTGTATAGATTGAAGTGTACAGAACAAGGAATAACTAACAATTATTGGTTAATGATTATTGGAATAGTGGAAGGAATCTCAATAGAAACAAAACTAATATTCAGACTTCAAAAATGGAAGGGGAAAAAAAGATAACCAAGGAGCTAATTCCCATGCCTTATACGCCCCTCTTATTTTTTTAAAAAGCCTCTTTAAATTATGCCCTTGGTACAGTTGATATGAGTAGACATTCTATAAAGAAAATATTAACAAGACTCTTTATTTTTATTCTCCAGATAATAGAATACAATATTTTACAACATTCTTAATGTGAAGGAGAAACTATTACGTGCATGAGCACAATTCAACTGCATGCTGGAGTCGAGTAGTAATGAGTGCATTCCAGGCTTTCAAGCCAAAATTGTTTGGTGGATTAAATCCATTCCTTTCCTTTTTCCACACAAGCCTGTCCTTTGTAATCAGCCTCTAAGAGACATAAAAAAGGAATTCTTGATATCATAAGTTTATGTTAATCTCATGGAGTGGGTACTGTGAATTTGTTGATCAACCTAAGGACACCTATCAAAATTGTCATACCCATTAATTTAAGGATTCTCTTTCTGAATGTTAAAAATATTGATAGTGAAAAAATTTATATTACAAATCTGTTTCCCATTATAAGACTGTGGCAGTATGAAAATGCTACAATGGGCAATTGTATGTATACTGGAGAGAATCGGTAGTATTAAATCTATACCAGTATGCTGTGTATATCATTGTAAACCTTGAGTAGACAGATATAGAGGAAGATTGTAATCCTGCATTATTCTTGAAAAGAAAATTAAAGCTTTCCTACAATTAAACAAGAATGTCACACTTATTACAAAGTCCATCCTCAGATCTTCATTGGACACAAAACATTATGAAGGTATTTTATCCTTTCTTCCAATCTTTACGACTTCTGAGGGTTTCCTACTGATGGCCTGTATACAATGTAATCATACAAAATAATCTTTTTGCAAAGTTTAGTCAATTGGTTCAGCAGAATGGCATGGGGGGGGGGGGGAACTTACAAATACATGCTCGGGGCAATGCTTCCCAGCACCTTTGAAGCGGGTGGGGGAACATAAATACGGTATAAATTTGATGGCCAGCATCATAATAACATAAGAAAGTTCCCCCTACTCAAGCATTAAAAAAAACAAAAGGAACAAAAAAATCCTATGACACATTCACGAACAGGCCCCTTGAGTTGCTCAGTTTCACCATGTAGGAGCTTAATATGAATGATTCAATTTTAAAATAACATGACCATTTCCAAATAGAAATATCGACACACGATAGAATACATGATACAAAACATACATAAAGCCAGCATAATTCTCATAATAGAAATCAATTGAGATTGAAAATTGAAATTGACAAGTTTGATGAATATTGGCATAAAATGTATAAACAATGAAATGGCTTTCTGATGATGTAATATAACAAGCTGAGTTGTTAGGATAAAAAGAGAAATAGATTTTAAAACTTTGACACAGCTCTTTTCACCCAAATGAAAAAAATGTATGAAATAATTATAATCTTTTTCCGTTACATGGATGTTGATAGGTAATTTGAACAGTATTTGGAGAAAAATCAATCCCTACAACCATGTGAAGTCTTCACATGTCCACTTCAAATTGGCTCGACTCACAAAGACATCAAGATCAAAGTACCCCTGTTATGAAAATGTGATTTACTATTTAAAGGAGTTCCAAATTGTTGGCTATCATTTTCCACAGGGTTAAATGATCCGAGTTGGTCCTCTTGGAAAAATTGATACACAAAGAGAGGTGGAGAGAGAAAGAAAGAAATAATACCTAACAGATATATACATGGCAAGCTATAGAACAATGTGGGAAGACAAAATCTCTTGGTCACTTTTTGACAAGGAGAGTTGACTGATAACCAGTGCATACAGTGCATACTTGTATTGAGCTTGTGGTGGGGGATTCTTTAAAGCTAATTTTCAATGCTCTTTATGAGGGATTCATGGTTTGCTACTGTTCCTCCTACAAGGGTCGTAGGTTTGCTCCAATATCTTGTTGCCTCATGTTTGTTCCACTGCTAATATGGGGGCTTCATGTTTGCTTTCATTGCTACTATGGGGGCCTTATGTTTGATTTTTATAGCTGTTATTGAAGTCTCATGTTTGCTTTAATGATCTAGATATGGGTCTATGTTTGCTTTTATTGTTGATATGAGACTCAGGTTTAATTCCATTGCTTCCATTTGGATCATTATGTTTGCTTTCATTCCTGCTTTGGGGGGCCTTTTCTTTGTTTACATTTTTTTTAATATGGGCTTTATGGTTCCTTCCATTGCAAAGGGGTTATGAACTACGAAAAAGAACAGAATATTATTATGATTATTAGTATATTTAAAGTAATCCACAAGCTCTGATACATTGTATGCACTATCACCGACAAACATTCCCAACTGATTTCACAACTCTCTCCTGTTATTTATTAAAGCTACAAAATAGAACTCATCTTTTTTACCGTTGGAAGTCCAGCTTATCAAGAACTTTCAAATTCGAATTACTGTTAATCTGATCAATACAAATCTGAACATATTATAGGAGGACAATTAACATAACAGTCATGGATGGCGAAAATACAAAACATCAGCCACTTTCAACATATATATCAAAATGATGATAAATAACAATAACGAAAAAAATATATATGTTTGCTATTTACACTTTGATCATTAATATATACTATCACTTATACTTGCATGATGCACAGGAATATGTACAGTGACATCCTTAATAGACATGCTGCATTGATATATGCAAAAACTCTATTCAATCTTACAAGCACAACATCATATTACTTTCTTAAAATGCTTTTTTGATCAAAATGTAAAGACAATAGAATATACATACCTACAAGGATTATACTTTTCAGCAGAATTGATTATTTACAAACATTTTACATCTCCTTCTCCAAGATACTGATCAATTAAATGAGCATCATAAAACCAAGTGGCTCAATATATGCACTGATGCATCTCAAACACATGTTTAAATGCAAAGTTTAAAAAAGAGCATGTCGTAATTTAACCAAAAAATAAATAAATACTAAGCATTGTATGCATTAAAAAATGGGTACAAATCAAATTGCATAGCATTCAAAATGATAAACAATCTTTATATTGGTTTAACACAATAAAAAACAGTGCAACAAACAGATATCATTAATGACTTAAATAGGAAGAGCTAAATAGTCTATGTTGACAACAAAAACCGACCAAAATTTAAAAGCAATAAAAATAGACCTTGCTCCATGAGTTGTCGAGTTCATGATTTTCATGGCAATCAATGAGATTTGATGAGGTTAGAGAGAAGAAAAGCCATTTTGAATTGTACTTCTCTGGGAAATGGTTAACCACTTCGACACACATTCTTATATAAAGATATATATATATGCATCAACAAGCATTTGAGAAATCATAGCACCAATTAACTGCATCCTTGGATCTATTATCTGTTGGAGAACTCCCACTACATGCCATTGTAGGGGTTTATAATCACAAGCAGTGTTGAGATTCTTTTTCTGTTTATTGTCATTTTCATAGAGATTGTCAGGAAAGGAAATATTCTGGCGAAATCTGTAAGGGTGCATTCACATATCACGCAATTTCCCATGGGAGTATACCACTTTCATCATTGCCATTTTCTCTTTACAACACATAGCGCTAGCACGTACAAACACCGATTCTGTGTGTACTTTGAATGGGCAATGCAGACAGTACCAATCACGATGTTTCTTTGCCATATGTGAACAAACCTTATTATGGGATAGCTCATAAAACACAAATTCATGAAGCACACTTTGTTTACTGTACATAATTTAACTCATACAAAACAATAACAACAACAAATCATGAGATGATTGTCGCGCTTTCCTTATCAGCCTCATAAGCCCACGTTTCCAGAAATAGGGATTAGACGGAAATCAGTGCCAACAGCCTGGGCAAATGTTTCTATGCATTCCAAAGCTATATGAATACTGTTGCTGTCTATTGAACATAAATGGACGAAATACAAGTACATTCTAGAGTTTGCTTGGTAAATGTTATGCATAGGATTGTTAATGTGCAAGGGAATATATATTTTACTCTGCAAAGGCATAATGTCTCTTTTCCCCCATTTTGCTTGATAGATTAGAATTAAATTTAGTTATTAGAAAGGAACCTTCAAAGGCCTAAATAGATCCCAATATATCAGGAACAAAATAGAATCGTCTTTAAAGTTTGAGATAAATACAAAAAGATTGATGCTTACATATGTTGATTTGATTCAAAATATAGATATTTTTTTTGCTTTTGTAATATTTAAAACTGCTTTATCAAACAATGTGGGTATAATCTTCAATTCTTGGCCCCTGATGAAACAAAAAAAGCTCTTCATTCGTTTAGAGAAGAACTTACCCTATTTTTTCAAATACCGCCGTTTTCTTTTGTGCCTGGAATCTGTTTTTATTGAATACATTTAGCGTGTTCATGTATCCCGGACACACCGACGCCACACCGATGCCACACCGACAACAGCCCGAACAAAAATTTATGTTACCCAACTGGCCAAGAATTGGTTCGGTTTGCAGACGGTATGGGATCTGGATAATAGCAGTGGGAATGAGGGGTGGGTTTTTTAAACTCTAAACATGGGTCAGACCGACAAAAGACAGACTCAAGATGAAATAAAAATTCCTCGGAAGGCCAAGAATCAGATAGTTTGAAGTTGCTTTGAAGTCTAATTGTCGGACTGACTGAGGAATTTGATTGAGATGTCAAAATAGCAGATGAAATGTTCTTAACCTATGTGTACTTCATTCATAAAATCGAGGCATGATGAACTCAAATGTATTTTTCTCATTGTTTTTCATTGTTATTCTTTCAAACTTTGGCATTAGAATCTGCAGCCCTTTTTTGCATATTAATGATCTGAAATGTTCTTTTAAAAGCATGTATAAGTTACTAACACCGTCCAAGAAATAACCCTATATTTAATGAATTTCTACTGTTCTTCCTTAGTGCTATGGATGCCCACAATTTGGACTTCATAAATTGACATGGAGAAGAAAAGACGTCTACTATCATTACATGTAATTCATTCACACATTCCAGAAATAGCATAAGTAGCATTAACATTTTATATTATTTTGAATCATTACTGTTAAATTCACGCATTAACCTTTGGCTTTTCAACTAGTGAAAGGGCGAAATGGTGCACTCTTGTTCTAAAAGTTCATGCATTTCACAGAAATTCCAGAAATAACATTTTTAAAATTAGCAAGCTGATTGACAAACTGCAATCAATTAAAAAAACAAGACATGACACAATTCAAGCTGCAGCAATGGGGACACAATTCTACAAATTATTTCTTCAGTATTTGGGGTCAAAATTCATCATCATATATTGCACAAATGAAGGCCTTCGGCAGCCATGGAAATCAACGCTCCTCTCGTTGCTAAAGCTTCATACCAGATGATAGATTTCACAGAAAGGGAAAGGAGTTTGGAAAGTTGATCGTAACGAACAAGACATCTTGGACAGAAAAATGCATTAAAAAATCAACTCGATTGCCTTAGTTGCCAATTTAGAGATTCATCTTTGACAAAAAGCTGCATTCTGAGAGAACCTAATGCCCCATTTACAATATGGCAAAGACATTTAATAATTTCATTTTTCACGAGGTATGTACATGCACTAATAAATATACAGAAGCAAGTGCATCACAATCATCGTTTGTGATCAGTATTTGATTGTCATTTTATAGTTGGTTGCAAACAAAAGAATTTGTGTGTGTTATACCGCACTCCAGGTGTTTTTGTAACATCACACTGATATAACAGATAGCAAGGGTTTTACTGGGCACTGCTCCTGTGATCAACATTTCTCTGATTCTCAACCGAAACCAAATACTTTCTTCATGTTATGATTCACCAAAGCTATGTAGGAAAAAGAGAAATGAAGCAGAGGGAACCAAATTATTTTTTATATTAGGAAGACTGTTCAACAGTCGATTGGCTTTAAAAGCATTACTATTGTTAAGGAAAGAAAATAGGGAAAAAAAGGGTAATTTCACACATACACATTCTAAAGACAGCTATCATAAGACTTATTTACATCAAATTAATCTCAGTCTGTTGTCCATCCAGCCTCTTTATCTTCGACTGCACATATGAACTTCGAACTTTCAACCTTGAACATCCATTAGCAAAGGAAGAAAAAATTCCCTTTTCCTCAAAGCAAAAACACACAATGCATGCATCTTGAACAAATTTCAACAAGCATAATACAAAATACAAAAACTTTTTAATCAGTACAATGATGCTGGCAACATTTTTGAGCACTTAAAATGGCCCTTTAAAAGTTAGTTTCATACAGTATCATGCCACAGACAACGCCGATGCACATCCCTCTCAATGTCAAGATAGAAACCTGTTCTTTAACCAGCTGTCATAAAAGGGCTCAATGTTGAAACACAGTACGTCAAAATGAGCCAAGCTTAGCACCAAAGTTCAAACAGATCAATTAATATATGCACCTCTTATAAAAGAAAGTACCGGTAACAAACATCTCTGCTAATCAAAAATGAAGAAAATTACAACAAAAAAAGTGATTGCAATTCTTCCTCCTCAACTAGGAGTAAGAGGATTGATGGAAACATAATACTGATGTTGTAGGACAGGATCGGCAAGGTTGTCTGAACTTGGTGAGTGTTGGCAGCAGTTTATGTGGTAGCAAACAACTTGTTGGGACAACTGGTGGCTCGAAACATGTAACATACCACTTCCCTCTAGATCAAGTAGCTGTCTTGATTATATTCCACATTGCAGCATCTGATAAACGGGATATCCAATGGACTTTCCGTAAACCTATGCTACAGGAAGATCTGAAGAAGCCACTGAAGAAGCTACCAAACTGCTAACCGCCCATTCTGTCACCTGTCCTAGAATATGACTGTGAGCCATTTTATTTGTTATCAAACATATCATTTCAAAAGATCAATTGTAAAACATAACTCTCTAAAGATTACACAGAACATTCTATTAACCACAGTATTAAGTATAATCCGTTCTTTTACATATCTCAATACTTCTCAAAAAAGCAATCTGCTGGCATTCGGGCAAATATCTTGAGGTAAGACTGAGATGTAATGATTGACATGGCATGAAGCTAAGCAGTCTCCCAAGAAACAGATAATTTAAATTACCATTCCATCACCACAATCTTAACTTGTCTCAAAGCTTGCGTAGCTATAGCAACCTCACTGACACCCTAAAGAGAGCGATAATTAATCCTCATAAAAATTCTCTATCATCAAAACGGTAAAACGATTTTGTTAATTCCTCAACCTGATGGTCTTCACAATAAATAGCTATCCTGATTGCCAAAGTGCACAGCATCCGTTAGACATGTGACCTGCAGAGCAGCATGCATTGATTGTCCTCCTCCAGCCAGCCATCCTGCGGCTGTACGTCGTCTGGCGCCCTCTACCTAGCAAGGTGCTTCAACATGGCCGAAGAGAGCGACGGGAAACAGCTTCACATGCGTCTGCCATTGCGCCGACAACTGGAAAAACTTCACCCTGGATAACTCGTTGCCATCGATGGTTACTATGGGGAATGGAGAGTGGAGAGAACTTTGTCAGACTTGATGAGATGGATGTGAATATGAAGGAGAGAAAGCAGATTTTATGGTAACTTAATTTAATCGTGTTTGGATCTTCTTAAAATTGGTGAGAAGCTTGTTTTTGGAAATTTACACAAGTATCAATGATTATTGTTGTTTAATGTGAAAGACATTACACAAATTTTGCATGAATCTTCTTTTTTAAATCTAAATTTTCAATTTTTGAGGAACATTTTACTCCTTGCACAATTTGCTCACTGTAATCCGTATCAACCTTGAGTCCATTCCTTAACATCAATTATTACACAGTGACTACAAAATCTTAATCTGGCGACAATATCTCTGGGTGTCAGAATAGAGGGTTAGGGTTGCCATTGAATTTTAGTTTTAGTGTATGACGAGGGAAAGGTTTCTGTATATGTTTGGTCAATGATTAAAGTTAGGAATTTGGTAAGTGAAGGAGATTTACCATCAATCATAAAGTCATACCAATCTATAAAAAAAATGACCCCTCTTCTATGTCGAACTATCGACCAATATCCATATTACCAAGTTTCTCTAAAATCCTCGAAAGAATTGTTTACAACAGATTATATAAATTTTTAACTCAAAACGACTCGCTGAACCCAGATCAGTTCGGTTTCAGGAAGTTCCATTCAACTGATTTAGCACTACTCCAACTATTCGATAGAGTATTAAATGCCTTGGCTGATCATAAACATGTCATAGGCATATTCATGGATCTCAGCAAGGCATTTGATACTCTTGATCACACTATATTATTGTATAAATTAAAGCATTACGGTGTACGAGGTAAAGCACTTGATTGGTTCGAAAATTACTTGTCATCAAGAAAACAATATACTTTATTCAATTCAGTTTCTTCTAACGTATCATCTATTAAATGTGGAGTTCCGGAAGGCTCCATACTTGGGCCACTATTATTTTTGATATATGTCAACGATATTTCTAATGTTTCACCAATTCTACAGTATATATTATTTGCCGATGATACAAATGTATTTTATTCACATTCCGATTTAAATTCGATGATCGCAACCATGAACACTGAATTACCTAAGTTATCGAAATGGTTCAAAAGCAACATATTATCATTGAACCTAAAGAAGACCAATTTTATTCACTTTAGAAACTCAAGAAATCACAATATTTATAACTTTGAGCTGCTTGTCGATAATGTTCCAATAGAAAAAAAGTCATCAACGAAATTCTTAGGTGTATATATAAATGAAAAATGTAACTGGAATGATCATGTGAATTATATCTCTACCCCTATTTCTCGCAATATTGGTATACTATTTAAGCTAAAATACTTTTTGCCAACACATGTGCTTAGTATGCTATATAATACACTGGTTTTACCATATATTTCTTACTGCAATATCATATGGGCTACTCATAAGTGCAATACTAATCGTATATTACTGTTACAGAAAAAAGCAATTCGAGTTTGTACCGATGCAGGTTATCGCGACCACACTGACCCTTTATTTGCCACATTAAAAACTCTAAAAATAAGTGATATACACTACATGCAGAAATCTGTGTTCATGTTTCGACTTAAATCCGGCAATCTTCCCCCATCACTAGTCATTTTATTCCAACATAATTTTAATTTTCATTCCTACCCAACCAGGCATTCCAATGACTATCACCTATTTAACGCCAAAACAGCCTTAGCTCAAAACTCAATTAGACATTCTGGCCCTGATACCTGGAATGCACTACCCCCTGAAATAAAAACGATGAATACAATGCTATCCTTTAAAAGAGCGGTGAAAAGATTTCTTATTGCTCATTATCTTTAAATCCATCAACAAAATAAATTCTCCTCGTTTACCCATCGTTACAAAACTCGATAATTTTCTGTACTGTTTACTTTTTTTGCTTCCATTTATTTAAACGTTGATTATAACCTTCCATGACCTGGTATGAATACACGTATGAATAAAGAGTGGCCTACTTGGGATACTGAATAAACACTGTCTTCTATACAAACATTTCAAGGCTCTGACTCGCAGGCCCAGGTTTAAAACCAGCTGGCTGATCTTACTTTCACATTCTTACTGTCCGAACCTTGAGAGTCTTCTCATTCTATTGTATCCCAAGTTGGCCACTCAGTATTCAAATTTGCATTTCTTTTCTTATTTAAAATCTTTATATATCAATTTGAAATCCAACTACCACATAAGTCTGTGAATATTGATGTGCATCCCCTCTTTCTTTTCTCTTCTTTTTTCTGTCTTTTCCCCTTTTTACCAATATTTTGTTCCTCCATATTTGTATTATTATGTATCCTTTGAGGGTAGTCATACTATCAAGCTTTGCTTATTTTGTCAACCCTCCTGTTTGATGTTCTCGATTAGTTACACCCAGCCTTACCTTATTCTACATATATTCTTTTGTCATGTGTAAATTTGCAATATTTGTTTGTTATATATTTGTAAAAATGCAAAAGAAAAAGAAAATCAAACAGAAATAAATAAATCAAATCAAATCAAATCAATTGTCGCCAGAGTACGATTCATATAACCCCAAAAGCATGACACAATACAATCATACAATTGTGCACCAGTCTTGACCATTTCTCGGGTAAACATTACCTACCTGTAAGTGAGTAGTCCTGTGTTCTTGACGTACACACCAGTCTGTAGATACCATCTACCGTTTGACTCTTAAGCTCAGGGACTGGAGTTCTCTTCCCTATCCTCATCACTGCTGAGAATGGAGACAAATCAAACAAACATTACACCGAGTTACACTTGCAATCAAGTCAATCAAATCCTACTGCTACTCAACTTACACAATAAAATTATTGTACAACCAAAAACTTTGGGGACATTAAATTTCCAAGTGATTTAAATTTCGAAAAAAGTATTCTGCAAAATAATGGATACAACACTGAAGTTTGCAGTATGGTACATGTACAGCTTCTTGCAGCAAACATGGCTTCAAAAAAAAAATCATGACTGCTTCATGTCTGCAGTTTGGGATGGGGGGGGGGGCAAAATTACTCCCCCAAACAAAAAAGTAATGTTTTGTAACTCAAGAATGAAATGTAGCATGGTTGAATTAAGGCCTTTGTTAAATACTATTAGATGTTAATTTTAATGAGTAACATTCTAAAGAAACATAAATTGGGATAAATCAATTTGTAACATACTTAAAAAGTACAAAAGTTGGTAAGGGTATGAATAATTTAGTTGTTAACCGTATATTTGTCATACTTTAGAAAGGTGTAAACCTACTTTTCTTGTTCTTCTCCCTCGTAACGACAACCATGGAGAGGGCAGCGGTCGCCGCGGGTGCCTCGCTGCTGGACGGTAGACGGTAGACTGTGAGGGAGCGGAACGCGCTCTTGAGGGACGACTTGTCCTTCTTGCTCCCTGACATGGGCCAGTACTCCACCTGGAGGTCCAGGAGCTCGCTGGGGCCACTGGGCGTGGGAGGACTGGTCGGGGTGACAGAGCTGCTGCTGCTGCTGCTCGGATGGAGGGAGGGATGGAAGAAAATATAAAATCATGTTAAAATTTTAAAGCCCGTCTGTACTAGTTTGGCCAGGGGGAATTAGACCTCCCTGCAAGGTCACTGACAGGTGGTTATCTCATTAACATAAGAAAAAGAGGATCATGGGGGACCAACAGGCACCAACAGGCACCGATTAGGCATTGTTCGCTATATAGAGGGCAAAAGTAGCTACATGTATAAGTAGTGCAGTGTGGCTTTAAAGTGAATGACAAAAGAAAATTTGCTTTTTTTTAAGTGTTATAGGTATGTTGGTCATGTAGTTGTTACATATATGTCAGGAAATTCAGCTTCTTCTTGAAAGTCAGGAAAAACTGTGCAACATGGGCATGTTCTTGCTGGCTAATTATGAGGCTTTATACCGATTACACCGACTGTACTGACAATGCGTATTGACAAGGGGAGGGGGTAGGGTGTGTTTCTCTAGCCCTCCCCTGAAGGATGGTGGTAGTACGGACGGCAGGGCTTGGGGCGGAGCATTCCCCTTCCTACCCTTCACCCAGTGGGAAGGTGGTTGTACCAACAATATGCATTTGCAAAGGGGACGGGAGGGAGAGGGGGGGGGGATTCCCTAGCTTACCTATGTGGGACAGTGACACTTCAGGGAGCAGAAATTCCCTTTCCACTCATACTAATCTCTCATGCAAGGTGGTCAAAGTGACAAAGTGTTTTCTGAACCTGCCCTCAAAGAGGTAAGCTCTGACCGCGAGACTAATAGAGTGGGGCGTGGTTCCATAACTTACCTCTGTGGGACGGTGGTAGTACTGACAGCGGGGCTAGGGGGTGGGGTGCTCCCGTCCACCCTCTCCTTGGCAGACGATGGTGGACTGGAGGACAGCAGGCTATAACCCGATGCAGATTCATCACTCTCTGTATACCGGTAAACAATTAAACCATAAACATGATGAACACTTGTAAATGAGAGGCCACACATGTTGGGTTCTACTTCTTTTGGAACATTGCACTTGGGTCTTGTTGTATAAGAGTGAACTTTGACATTAATCTCAACTAAAGTTACTTGCCAATCAACTATTAACAAATAAAAGAAAATGGCAATCACAATTTTTCATACTAAATTGAAGTACTTGCAATCAATTTTGATATATACTCTTAAATACAAAGTCTGCATACAAACAAACAAACTGGCTGTGATGTAATACAATTATTTGTTTTGATTATTGTAATAGCAACCTAAAAATAGGCATTAACATTTCTACTGAATACTGTAAATGTATGTGCACTTCATAATAGGGGTTTTAATAACCACAATAATTTAATACATTTGCTCTCAGTATGTATAATGACAATCAATATCAGACATCCTTGGCTAAAATTATCATCATTATATTTATACTTAAGCAAGCATTTTGGGTGATCTATATTCAAGGACTTGGATTGAACAGAACATGTCAGTTTTTGAATCTGATCCTGATATGGGGATAACTGACAATCCTTCAATAGTTGAGAGACTATATGAGCTAAGTTTTTCAATGGATGCTCAAGAGGGTTCAATAATGCACAAATGGCAGCTGCTTATTAAAAAGCTCAGATCTGGCAGACACTGGGAGCAATGCCAAATGGATAAGATTGACATCCCGCTTGCTAGTTTCTATTCTCTTATTCTTTCAAACACTCTGGTTGCAGCAAACACTCTTCATCCTCCTCCTTTCTGAGAATCTACCTGACTTCAGAATTGCTTGACCACAATCAAGTTGAACTTTGTTGGTGAGTAATGTGGTTGTGTGTGTTGTGTGGATAGACAACAATCCATATGCCATACGTTGTTCATTTGGCACAATTAAGGCGAGGATACACTACATGGCAAGGGATAGATGGTACAATGAGATGAACACAGTATTTCACATGCACTAGCTGATAGAATTTTTTGAATTGGCCTCCCCCTCCCTTTCCCCCTCCCTTCCCCCTCCCCCCCCCCCCCCCCCCATTCCCATGAAGATCATTTAATATCGGGGAATTTCAGGAAATTCACTTAACCCTCTAATATCAGGGAAAGCAATACATCATGGTAATGTAAGGACTGTTTAATTACCATATCCTATGAAGAAAAAAAACCTGATATGAAATCAATTTTAAAATCAGTAGCGTAAGAAATTTTCTAGAGTAGATTTGTCATAACATCTCTCAGGTAGAAGTCAATAATATGAGATAATCTTCTTGATTCAGAGATTTGGGCGTGCAACATCAAATTATCTGCTATTTTTTATAGAGAGTCAAGGAATTGTCATAAATATCAAAGTGTCCTTTAGATATTAAACTGAAAAAGTGAAGCGACCTTTGAGGTTCATGATTAATTAACAGAGTGAGTATTGGCTGCTTTCCAAAGCTGCAATTGTATAACTTAGAATAGCTATGGGTTGAGTATTAAGGCACCATGTGTATAAAGCTGAACAGTTGTTGTGGTAGGGGGCTGGAATCCAAAATGTTTAGGTGCACTTAAAGTTTGGACAGAGGGGGGGGGGGGGCAGGAAAGAGGAACAAATCAGAGAAACAAGGTAACCATGAGTAATTAAGGTTTCCCAAATGTTTCAGATACACTTTTGGAGGGGGGGGGCAAGAGATGGGTTGGCATCTGACCAAATGTGATGTATGCACCTGTAATAGGAGTGGGGTGTAGAGTGGGGTATGTAGTGGGGTGTGGGATAGGGAACAGTGGGGGGGGGCAGTGAAGGGTACATGTGACAAGGACAACAGAGGCAGATGACATCTTCTATTTAGGAGAACGGACTCAAACAGCTGACAGAGAACAGCTGTGTATATATCCATCAACTCTACAAGCAATTGCTTGAGCTTAAGTCCTTCTATACACCCTTCCTCCCTCCCACCTCAAATCTGTGTACGTGCATTTTGACACACTGTTACTCCAAGTTTGTTTTATACAAATTGATTTCTCTCTTTCTTTGCACATCAATTGTTTTTATTCATTCTAGAAACAAGGAACTGGATGAACATGAATATATATGTTTCAAAACAAGACAATAGAACACAAACCTTCATTATAGGTAGTTTCCTATGTTGTAGCAAGCTAATGAAATTTTGTTGTACTACTTCAATATCTAATCAAATGATTGCTTGTCTACCACTATAGGTAAATGTGTAAATGCATCTTAATATCACACTAGCTTGCCACAAACCGACAGTATTAGGGTTTGACCAACAACAAAAAAAGGAACGTTTTTATTTTGAGAACTGAATAAATGCGCAAGTCGTCTATCAACAAAGTCAAATTCCATCATAGTTTGAAGCTCTCACCTGCTATGGCCACTGCTCCTAATGCTGAACTTGGAGGACCAATTAAAACATTCTGAAATAAACAAATAAACAAAATGAGCATTGTATGAAAATTATATTTCCATAATTAAGAAGGAGCAGAATCATGTAATGACATGTTTGACATTTTGTTACAAAATGCAAAATTCCAAATTTCGATCAACTCATTAAAAAAAAAAATGGATCATCTAAGAATTCATATTGATCTAGATCACCTAATGTGACAGGAAAATATACAGCACTTTTGACATACCGGTACAAAACATTGACTCTTGCTAGATTTATCAGAATTCACACAAAAAATTATTTTTAGCGAGTGATTTTCTTTTCCATTTATAAAAGCACATTCATTATTATTTTTAAAAAATACTTACACTAATGAATGGAACAAATTTCTGGCAAGATTCATCATCAGATCCCCTTAATTTGCATGTGAGCATCACCTCTCCGATCGGCAAGCCAAGACTCGTGGTAGCACCAGACAGATATTTCTCCACACGATTCGCTATCTCTCTCTTATCACCTGCAAAAGGAAATAATGTTGCCAAACTTATTGTTAATAACTTGGAATATGATGGAGACCAGAGTTCCAATATTTAGGCTTTCCAACCTTTATTGATAAAAAATACAATGCTGGTTGAACATATGCTGTAGATTCTTAAAGTTTATGAAAGGTTCTATATTTCATGTATCACCTCCCAACAGACAAAAGGGCCTTACCTCTGTGCAAATGTATATGAGTTAATGCCATTCTGGTCGGCAGTTATCAGCAGATATACTTTTTGTTTCCAGGTATAGGGTTATTGTTAGGAATAATATTAATAATGTAAAAACAAAAAACAAACCATATTCTATTATTGTTCATTATTTCTTTCGCATAAGATTTGTGTTTCATTTATTTTTCCCTTAACTGCAGTTCAACCATACCGGCACATTAATCAAATCTCTTCCTATTGAAAAAGTCTGACATGGTTTTGGTTGAAAAACAAGACAATTAGCGATTTTGTGGCTGGCAGCTATGTAGAAATACAATCCTTTCATGGGGCCACTCAATACAGCTGCTGAGAGGGGGAGGGGGTAATGATTACGTAATCCCAGACAATGAATCACCCAGGCAATTCCATGAAAAATTAAGTACTTAAAATTGAATTTAATTAGTCTATTAATTAGAAGTGGCTGTCATTTGCAGTAAAGAAGAAATGAACGTCAAAATAAAGAGAATATATTTATATAAATAGAGTGAGATCAAGAGACAAAGGAAAATGAGAAAAGGAGAGAGAGAGTAAGGAACTGACAGAGGGCAAAACAAAGATAAAGAGATCGAGATAGAGAGACAGAGATAAAAAGAAAGAGACAGAGAGAGAAAAAGTGTGGGATGGAGGGGGGGGGGGAGAAAAGGAAAGAGAGAGGGAATTCATGACAGAGAGAAAGTGAAAAAGAAAGATCAATATACATCCAAGCATGGGGTATGGGATAGACAGTGACTTCACTAAAATGGCAGAGGGAGAAAGGGGGGAGGAGGGTGTGTACAAATTAACTTTGCTTGTGATTCTAAGTCTTTGACCTCAGTACAGTGCTATAACAGGTCATTTTTCCTTTTTATCTTTAATGCTGAAATATAAAGATGGTTAAAAATTAGCCTTACCTGCAGCCTCTTTCTCTGATTTTTCCCAGACTTCCTTCCAGAAGGAGTCTTGGAATAATGAGTTGTATCTCGTATCGACTGAACTCAGATATTTGGCCACAGAGTTGTTACCTGCAAAGAAAACAGTATAGAAATGTAAATTAATTGTAATCCCCCTGACATTTAATTTCTTATTAACATCTTTGATAACCAACATAATCATTAATTCAATGATAGCACAAAAAGGACTTTTTCTTCTCACAGAGTTTTGTTTAAAAAATGTCTGTGAAAAGTTGATACAATGGTCGATACAACAACATTAGCTTTTTCATTATCTTCATACAGCTGACAAACATGGTCAGACTCGTATATAACATTTACTCAAACAAGAACAATTATTTCAGAAAAACGATCTTTAAAACAGGTCCTTGCCGGTCTCTTCTCACATGGTTCTTTACAAGGAAATGTTCAGGGATAATGAAGAAGTGCTGTTTCCAGACAGACAAAGTTGCTAAGAAGAGTTCTACTACGGTATATTATCCAAGGCACAACCGAGGCACAGACGAGGCACAGCCAGCAGATGTATATTTCCAGGAAGCTCTATTTTAATGCTTCACATATATTTGATGACATCTACATCTATTATTTCATTTCATTTTATTTTATTTCATTCGTCATATAAAAACATAAATGATTATAACATTGATATTTTAGGATAAGTAAAGAACATACAAATAACATATTGAAAGATAAACATAAAATACAAATATATATACGAATGAGGAACCAACAAGAAAGAACAATTAAGTCATGTGTTGTGCTGGTCCCTTGCAACATAATAAAGAATTTTAACCTATAACACTTAACACCTTACACCTAACAACTAACACCTAACATCTAACACCTAACATCTAACACCTGATTGCATATATATAAAAACTAATAAAATACTACTCACAAAAACGTAATTGTCTGTATCTCTTTTTAAATGTATTCACAATGATAGGCCCCAATTTTTTGTTCATTATTATTTCTTAATTCTTTCATTGCAAAAAAGGGCTAACAAATTTAGCCCTTGCCTAGGTTCCATTGGCCAAATCAAATTCCGCCAGCCAACCTGAAAGTCCTGCATTGTTTGGCAACCTTTAAAAGCAATCAAAGATCCTTGGCTGGCATCCTCAAGATAATCAAGAGCTCTGTAAAAACTATTTGACCTGATTTGTGTTTGCACCCAAATGCCACGTCAGTCTATCATTTGAGTCCTGCCGCGTCACTAATGTCCTTTGGCAAGACAATGATCTACATTTGCCACACTCAACCCAGGTGATGTAAATGAATTAATTCCTTGAAAAGCTAGAGGGCCGTAATGGCAGCCGTGTTAAAACCAGGGTAATAATCTCCCTCTGTGCCTCAGAATAGTTAACTAGATTGATGGGGCATAATAAATGCTGTAGTATTATTATCATAACTCACCTGTTGGGACAATGTAGAATTTGACATAGTTGAGCCATTCTGATGATTTGGCTGAGAACTGCTCAACGTAGGGCTTGAGGACGGAGCCAATGTAGCTATCACTCCCGCAGACGCCGATCTTGATGGGTGACAAGACTCTGGCATTCTGATTGCAGCTACATGATCAAAAGATGAGGACAACAAATGGTTTGAGCATGTCAACAGCTCTGATGAAAGTCCTTGTAAAGATTGAATACTCAGTTTCTCTTAAACAATTTTATTACATTTTGTTTTATATATATATGTGCAAAATTCCTAGGATATAGGTGCATCTTGTATAATTTGGCAATGCTTTAGAATATAATCATCATCATCATTTTTTTTTTTATTTCTATCGGTTGAAGTACAAACTATAATGTCTCACCGACATTTTTTTTTTTTTTTTTTTTGGGGGGGGGGGGGTTATAAAGCATATGAAAGTATAAACAATACACACATTACATTGGAACAGCTATTAAAGGAATATTAATTTCATACAGTGTAAGTGTCATCAAACATCATAAAGACTCTGAGAATGAGTCAAATATATGTTACTGAATAAATATACAGTTGAAATGATCAGCATGACGCACTATAAATCACTGTCTTTCTACTTCTACTTTATAATTAAACAAGTAAAAGAGTTTTGACATTCATAGACTCATGCCATTGTGAATGAAACCTACCTTGGCATATGACCAAGGTGATATTGAAATTGTGACTAGTTTGAATGAAGGTCATAATATATTCCTCATAATGGATAATGATTACTTTTAATCTGTGTTCAATGATTGGCACATTTATGTTTTTGTACAATGTCAGAGTACTTTTAAAACCTTGTGAAGTGTTGATCGGTTACAAATTTGATTTAACAGAGAATTACAACCAATGTCAAAAAAGGTATGACTCTGTTAAATCAGTTATTTTTCATCACAAGAGATGCAGATGATGAATTTCCTTTTAATATAAAATACCCATGAATCAATTTGGATCTTACACTTTGGATATATATAGAATCTTGAAAATAAAAATTTAACATCATTGAATTATTTTGTTGTCTATGAAAGTTTCACAAATTTTGCGAGAGGTCTACCTTTACAAAATTTCATGCCACAAAACAATAATGGTTCACAATACTAACACTAAATTCACTAGTTTCAAATTTACAGTTACAACAATGTTTTCCTTGGAGACTTACAATTTTTGTATTTTGTGTACAATGAACTGGATAGTAGCTTCCACGTCTGCTGCTGTACCCGTTTTAACGATGCTTATCCTCGTTCCTTGTAAGCACTGGGCAATGAACTGTAAATGATACAGATAAAAAAGAGGAGCAAACAATGGTAAATTGCAGTTTCATAGAAGCAGTTGAAAAATTGTACAAATTCTCTTCGTTTTAAGATTACAGGCTCATCAACAGAAATCAGCAACAGACTGAATTTCTGATAGCATGGGCATGTCCAAAGAACATTTTTATGTTTATTATTATAAAATCATTTAATATTCTGGAATTCATAATGAGAAATTTCAATCATTTGTATAATACTTTGGGTACAGCAAAGAATACTACATAACTTAAAGGTCCATATTTTATAATTCAGTCAAACCTGTCTTTGAGTCTATCAGGTTTAACATAGAAAACAATTTGAACAAAGGCTTAAGCCCAGCGTTGGGTCTAAGCTCATACATAAATTATACATATATATATATATATATCTATGAATATAGAATTGTTACTAAATGACAACATAGTAACTTGCTTTCGCTGCATTTTGAACCTCTGCAGCTTAACTGATAATGTCTGAAGTACAGTGGATATTCTAATTCAACACATCTTGCTCATCTTTTAGACATTGCAATCTGATCATGAATAATTCACTGGGTAATCGCATAATCTCTCTCTCTCTCTAATCACATCATCTTCGTCCATCTTAGTTTACCTACGAGCAGCGCTGCTGGTTATTCCTCAGTATGAGCCATTCATGAAATTATAATGAGGGGTAATTTTAGATCGTGCTTGGGGAATGAATACTCCATGGCCACTCGGAATACTGCCTTTACCCTTCTATACAGTCTGTTTGCCTCCCTGCTGCAGAACATTTTCAATTACTCATCTACTGGTTTCAGAGATAATGCACACAGGTTGACATTGCCTTATTGGTACAAGGGCACATGAACAATCAGTATTTCACTGCGGTTAAATGGAGGAAGGTGTATTAACAGGAAGAATAGAGGAGAGGGGGAGAAGAGGAGAGGAGGTGAGGAGAGATAGGACAAGAGACAGATTTTATTTTCAGCACAGCTTAACTCACCAATAAAAAAGATATTAAAAATAAAAAGGTTCCTTTTTATACCATCAATGACATAAAAAAAAGGGAAATTAAATCAAACACTATCTACACAGAGACCCTAAAAATAGCAGAGCGTTTCAAAGACAATGAGGCCCTAATAGATAAGGAGGACATTTTAGATTCAATAAATACAAACAAATACAAAATTTCTGAGTTTTGGGGGCAAAGTCTAAATAAATCATCTGGGTCATAAAATCATAAAAAGTCAATATAAAAACAATTAGTTGACATTTTAGCTGACACAAATTGAAAAATTATGACTCTGAAACGTTATCAAAGGACAAATTCACCGGGCAGAAAGACGGATGCCACAATGGGCCTTGTCCTCTATATTTTGACATTGAATGACTATTGCGGCTGTCTGGCAGCTGGTGTGTCATGTGACATTTCATTCACATGTAAAAACACCTGTTTGCTATCATTGAGTAAGGAGGCAACATTACAGGTGGAAATATGAATGTGTTCATATACAGGCTCAAACCAAGATCAAGCAAGAGTATATATGCATGCTATCATATATTCTACTACACTTTAAGCCAGACTTTGGTTAAAAGTAGAATAGTAGAATTTAGGTCTAAAAGTAGAACATAATTAAGCTTACAATTGGCTTAAAAGTACAGGTCAAACATAAATAAACAATACCCATGCTTTGCTTTTACAAATGAAAGATGAAATAAACTTTTCAAAACAGACATCATAAATAAGCTATAAAATATCAAATCATAATGCCAACTTTTTGTGCCACCATCAAACTGGTCTCAAAAGATCTTTACTGAGATCAAATTTCTAACATACCCTCTTTTATTTTTAGAAGGAAAAACGAACAGATCATATCAAAGATTGTACATAGAGAACTTGTTTGTATCAAAATTGGGCGAGACCATAATACATTCTTCATAAACTTTGATACCTTTCATCATCGACACAGTACTTAATGATTTTAAGTAAATCATTAAAAAACATGTTTCCTTTGTTAATATAATCCCTAAGGATTTTAATTTTTTGTTAATTAAAAGGAGTTTTATGATGATTCCTTCAACCATTGAAATGCTTAGCATATATATTAATTATTCCATTCATGTCTACAACCTGTACCATACTCTGAACATAGCCTTGTAGTAACGTTAACAAAGAACCTCTTGCTTGAGGCAACTTCAAGGTCTGGAAATAATTGAGTGTATTGTTCTATTCATTTATACTGTTACAGAGCTCTATAGTATTACATGTAACAATGTGAACCTCATACCACCAGCATATCAAAGCTTTCATGAGTACCTCTCAACAAAAGGCGCATTCATGGAAAATGTGGAGGGAAAAAAACTCATGTTCAAGGCTCTTCGTTACATGCATCATTTCAGGCTTAGTGTGTCCGTGATAACAAAATTAAAACTACAAAGCAGTACAAATCTATTTCAAAGATAAATTACTTCTCTAGTTTAAAAGCACCTGTCATGACAAAGGTGGAAATGATATACATCTGTAAATGTTATATACCAATTTCAAAGTAACAAAAGAGAACAATAGCAATATAGCATGTTTTTATATGTTATTTACTCATTCAAATTATGGATTTTTAAAGATGCAAAGGAACATATCTTTTGTATTAACCCATTCAATATGATATGTTTTGCTCTTATAATATATTTTATGAATCTTTGTTTTAACAAAAAATGTAACAGCAGTTTCAAAAAGGTCCAACAGTCACATATTACTATAATAATTGCAAAAAAGTGCAATGATGCCAATAAAAGAAATGAAGAATAACAACACTCCTACGTCACTAGCCTTGTCGAAAATGTCATGGCAGTGTCTGGTGCAAAAGACTAGGGGACTCTAGACACACCAGTAAAATATATTCCAAATAGCAAAATTTAGTTACTTTGTGCTCTCTGAAAGAATGTGTAACATACAGGTACATGTACATATATAACCTTTTTATCATTGACTTACAATGACTCTATGTGGTATGACGCTAAAAAGCAAAAGGGAAGACAGCATCCAGTATTTAAATAAGAGCGGACAAACTATCCATACTATCCAACCTTGAATGTGTCATATAAGAGTCTGGTGAATGAGGCTAGGAGGCCTACAGAAACATGTGTAGGAAAAATGCCTGTAGGTCAGTAAAAAATTAGCTTTCATTCGAGAGAGAAGGACGAAGAGGATTGTCTGCGAAACGCAGCACGGACAATGATCATCATGATGCATTCGTTGCAGCTGAAGGCTTAATCAATCATTGTTAATCAGGTTCATTATGGACGGATGTTGTAGGGCAATGCCAACTTAATGCTAGCCATCAGCGCTCTGGGGCAGTGTCAATGCAATGCTGAAGGTTTTTGACAGTATTGCATAATGAAAATGACCTGACTTTACATGAACTTAAATAGTATATGTATTAAACATGGATTGTTATCTGTCCAATGCTAGCCAGCATTCTGTCAATGCAATTTGAAGGTTTTGATCGTAATGATGTGCATAATTAAAATGTCCTGAGGCTGACTATATATACAATTATACATATATATATATATATCTATAATAGTAATACGCTAAGGCTCCGCGGGGGGCATGACGTCTCCGCCGGCCTTTGTATTCTATTGTTTTTTAATGAGATCGCCGACCCAAGTTGGTGCGGCTATCTCCTCCTGAACCCTGCCCTCGGGGTACCCGTGCCCGGTGCCATCGTCCGCGGGAGAGTCTACTCTATCGAATTGGCTATACTCCGCCCGAGGTCCTCCTCCGTGTCGACGTCCAGGGCGAAAACAGACGCGATATGCATAATGCAGGATATGCGTGATGACAGAGATACCTCATGGATATTCAACATTGACACACGACCGATGACTATCCGTATAAAATTGTATACACAAAAATCGGTCGTAAAAAAACTCGAACCATATTCCATACCTTACCTGGCTTACCATGTCGCACGCAAGTACGCCAAAACACGTACAAGTTTCGCAGTTGCGAGATCGAGACGGAGCGTAGGGCTCGAGTTTTTGGCGGTCGATTTTGTTTTGGTAGAAGCTGAATCTAGACCATGAACCACTAAACATCGCGAAACTGCAATCAATTTCCATCACGAATTCACGATTGCTGCAATATTATAAAGTTTCCATAAATAGAGGTATGAAATTAAAGCCTATTTTGTGATGTTCTCGCCATGTTTACGTAATTTTGATAATCATTTCTTCAAAGTAAAGAAAATCGGACAAAATCACCGTAACTGACACGCATTGCCACTGTGTAGTGTGTGTGAGATGAGCTGAGTTGCAGTTAACTCCAACTCCTGGAGTTACGCTGCAGTTATGCAGCAGTGTGTGAGTTGAATTCGAGTCGAAGAGATTTGACACTTTGAAATTGTTATCTGTTGGTTTGCATCATTATTGCCGCGATTTCAATATAGTTTCGTGAATAGATTTATGAAACCTGAGCTTAGAAATAGTAAAAGTATTACTAATGTCTACGTTTTTAAACGACTGTCTGATTTTCTTGTGAAAATTTTACTTTGAAAAATGATTATCGAAATTCATGGTCAGAAATAATCACAATCTAGGGTCTATTATGTTACAATTCTTGCATCAAATCAATGCATGAAAACTTAGTTATTGAACTAGAAAAATGTTTTTTTTTTTAAATAGGCAATTATGAAGTAGGAAGCCTGAAACCTTATAGCCTACTAAACAAATCTCAACAAAGTGTAGGCCTATCCTTTTATGAATTAATGAAAAAGTAGCCCCCGAAAATTTCCCAAAAATTTGAAATGGAGCCCCCGAAATGAAAAACTTAATTTTTTGCCTGCGCCCCCCTCTAGAATCCTGCGGATTTCCGCGGGTCCTGAGTTGAGTGTATATATAATATAGGCGTGGGGTCCACGGGTTTCAAGGGGCCAGCATAAACCCCCAAAAGCTCAGGGGTTACGTTCTTCAAAATTGGAGGGGGGGGGGGAGAGATCAGATCGCAGCGAGTTGAGTGTATATATAATATAGGCGTGGGGTCCACGGGTTTCAAGGGGCCATAAACCCCCGAAAGCTCGGGGGTTTTAGGCGTTTAATTAGGGTCAGATGAGCATATTTTTCATACTTTATTTGTGACACTTGTGGGTCACTAATTGGCGTGGGGTCAATACGTAGAGTTGCGTAGTCTTGCGTACCAACTACGCTGGCCTACGTTACTATATGCTGAAGGACGGAAAGGGGTACGCAAGATGAACGAAAACAATTCAACATGTTTTTCGCGTACTTTCGGCGTAGAAACTTGACGCAGAAAGTACGCCTTTTTACGCAACACTACTCTACATGACTACGCAGCAGTACGCTACCCTACGCCAGATCGACAAAGCAGTAAACGCTTTCCCCTCAGTAAGCAACCATAAGCAAACCTGTACGCCAGCCTACGCATAACCTACGCAGGGACAATTTTCCCATTAATAGCAGCCTAATTTCTGCGTATTCGGTACGCCACACTACGGAACTCTACACAGTTCCAGTGGCTTAAAGAATAACTACCGGTACAGTTGGATTGTTTTTTTAATTTAATATAAGGCCAAATTTTAAAAAAAACATACTTATAGCGTCCTGTTTTTTGAAAAATGGGAAGGAGGAGGCAGTTCAAAATGGCCGCTCCGTACATTTTCCTTGACATTCGGGCTATTTTTCAAGATGGCGTCCGACAATTTTTTTTTTTTTCTTTTTTTAAAATCAGAAATACATTTTAGCAGTGCTTTTCATGTTTTTTTTCTTTCCAAAAAAAAAAAAAAAAATTCAAAAAAATTCAAAAAAATTTCAAAAAAAAAAAATAGGAGGCGGCCCCCAAAAAGGAAGCGGGCGGGGACGCTAAACATGTATATTTTTTAATGGCCTGAATGGCAAATTAAGTTCTTGGTGGTTTTAATTTAGACAGTCTCTATATATCTATTTACACCCCCCGCCCCCCTCTAGAATCCCGCGGATTTCCGCGGGTCCTGCTAGTATATATATATATATATATATATATATATATGCATTTAAATATTTATGTGTTCAGAAGGGCTTGGCACTTATAAAATTTCTATTATTTATTTGGCAAAAACAAACTCAAGAAAACAGTGAGTACTAAAAACAGCATAACTTATTCTGTACAACTCCAGAAATTCTGAATCATAACAGAAATCAATTTGTTTATTTCTGATCAACTCTCAAATAAAGACAAATAGATCTAATTTCAGTATGAAACCAAAATATGTTTATATCCTTTATCAAACAAAACCTCAAGAGTGTCCAGTTTTATATTCTCCTTTCTAATTAACTTAATATAAATGTCACTTCATTTTATCGCCAACCGAAACAAGATATTTGCACGAACAAGCAAAGGTCACGCACAATCCAATTTCGTTAATCAATTTAATGAGCCAGGAGGAAAAGAAACTTGCATTATGCATTGAAAACAATCACAAGACTGACCTAATTTTTTATATTGAATCTATTATTTTCGTGGGTTCGTGAATTGTGCAGTAAGCCATCACAAAACAATTTTTTGTCAAGATAAATGACAACAAGTGCTTTGATTACCAACTTTTAGGTGTGATATCTTTGTATCCTTGTGGTACCGTTCTGGTTCATCAGCACCGGCATGTAAATCGTTCAAAACCACCCTTTTTTCACTGTATGTACCTAAGCTGTTTTAACGATTCCACTTCATATAGAAGCACTAAATAGCATGGGTCTTGCTCCATCTCACAAGCATTAAATGCATGTCCAGATATGATGCAGTAAACCGCAGATAAATGGCAACTGTACAGAACTAAGGTCCATACATGTAATAGCTCTGTGTTTTAAAATCAAAAAATGTGAACCGTGCTACACTTTACATCATTATACAAAATTTAAAATATTAAAACGGGGCATATCCTAAGAAGGCTCTTAGCATGAAAGCGTATTACAGTGATGTAAACATAATTATGTTTTTAATCCGTTTGAACCCATACAAAATATCATACAATGAAGTGTAGAAAAGTCTACAATTCACTTCTTTTGAATGGCGCTAATGAGAAAGTAATTCAAGTGGACTTACCTGTCCGTGCTTTTCTGAGATGTTGACAAGAAGTATCTTCTCCGGAGTTGTTTCGTCTGTGAGCCATAACTCTGAGAGCTGTTCAGTGATTGGCAATTTAGGTTTCTGTAAAGTCAAGTAGCAAAGCTTTTTGTAGAATTAATGGTTTATCATAAGTGTCTTGAAATGAAACAACTATTGATTATCACCTTCAACTGCCACTCTTTTCTTGCAATATTTGTATATGCTTGCCCTTAAAATCAACATCATTGTCTTTTCAAGTACCGGGGGTACTAACAAATTAATGTGTTCAACTTCTTTTACTTTATGTGCAAATATACAAGACATGAACAGTAATGAAGTGTTGTTTAATTTGTTTCTTGAGTGGATAAGTAGTCATAACATTTAGATTTGAGTGCCTGGAGAGACTCTTGACTATCAATGAGTTAACAACTGCAACTCTTCCCCCCCCCAAAAAAAAAAGGATTTTCTACCAATAAGAATCACAAATTTGGTACTTGCATTTGAGTTTATGTAAAACCACAACTGGTCATCACCTTTACATTGGAAAAATCTTTACATGGCTGATTTAAAACTTGGCTAATTGGCATTTGTCTATAGATATCACCATACAGTCCAGGAGCATGCAAGACTGTATCATAACAGTGCTCCTGCACTTACCCTCTTATCTCCCGTCCCAAGACTGTTTGACCTCTCGGCAGACTTGTTCCTCCGGTGCTCCCCATCTCTTCCTCCAACTCCTCCTCCTCCTATCGGTACCCTCATCTCTCTCCCCGCACTGCTACTCCTCTTGTACCCCACCTCCCTGACCCCTGCTGCCCCCGCTTGGGGTCCCACCAGGGGTATGGTACGGTCTCCATTGGCCGAGGGGACGGGGTTTTTGTTGGCGTCGGTGGTGCTGTGGGAGCTGCCGTTGCTACCCTGTCTCCGATGGTCGCCTAAGCGGTGGGTGTTGTCCTCGTCATCGGGGATGGTCAGCTCTTCCATGCTTGCATCCTTGGTGAAGTAATCCTAGAGAAGGATGGAATAATCACAAGTTTTGAGGAAGAATATAACACATCTTTTACTGTTAACAGTTACAAATTAAGATTAGCTGTAGAATTCTGAAGCTACATCATTATAAAGATATTGCTTGCATCTATTTTAATTCATTATACAATTGCTGTAAAACTAAAACCTTCCACAAGACAAAGCTGTTTGCAGCAATGCACTTTCATGAATTACCAAAATTAACCATGTTTATTGATGTAATTCAATCAGATGGCAATCAGGTATGTTCATGATTATGGACTACCCATGAAGTTTGCAAAACGTTCTGTTTCTGCAGTAATGAACACCATGCAATTGTAGATAAATATGGTTATGGGTCTTGGTACTTATTAATACCATTTTTAGATGCTGATATCATGACAACAATACAAACAGGAACTTTATTAGAGGAACATAAAAAAGACCCTGTCAACAAAATGCAAAACCAGAACTATATATAAAAAAAAAGCTGACCAAACTAGATCCTTGTTGACCACTTACCTGCGTGTGCTTGACCGTGTCTTGGTTGTTGTCCGGCGTGGCCTCAGACTGACCGACATGCTCCATGTCTTCAGCCATGGAGCTTGATGTAGGGATGCCTTGCGAGAAGAAAGGTCTGCAAAAAAAAAAAAGGATCAGTAAGAAATCATAAAGTTTGAAATAACATGAGGGGTAGGGCCTTCATATTGCCATAGGCAATGCAGATTGTACTGTGGAACAAGCAAGCAGCAATCAATCAGTCTTTCCTTGCCATTTCAGAGATCATATCAAGTTAACTGAAAAACAATATTTCTGAGGATGACGATATACTGCCACATTGATATATTACAGCTTACAAATATGAAATAGCTGTTAATGCAATATTATGAAGCGATGTAGCCCTAACAGGATAGAAATGTTTACCTCTGTACCTAAAATATCAACATGGAAACATGCTGCATTTTAATGGGCTTTAAAAAAAATCTCATCTGAATGCAACAAAACTAAAAGAAAATGTCTCCATATCCTACAACATAACAAACAAGCTTGACATTCCCACAGCCTTGGTTTTCGATAAGGAAGCGGTGTGTAAATTCAAAACTTGAAGGATAAGTATTTGATCTCTAAAAGAAGGCACATGCTAGCCAATGTAGGAAGGAAGTCCTTGATCCATCCTTGATCCAAGTCAATAAAACCATTCATTGCACTTCAGGGTCAATGCATTTTGCTACTGACATTGTAGGGTGGAAGAGTATAACACTCTGTAAGCTGTAATGGATTGTTCTGGGGATTGGTATTAACTTTATTGAAATGCATTAATGGAGAAAGGGAAGTGTTAGTTCTATCAAATTAAACCTCTTGTTCCTCAAAAAGATTGGAATGTGTATTTTTTTTTTATCATGACAAATCATAATCTTAGTGATGATGATGATAGCAGTAAAATGACAATGGAAATGATGGCTCTAATAAAGATTATTATTACGAGAAGTTCAATGCTCAAATATGTGAAACATCCTGATGTGGCAAAGTTCTGCGGTCGCTTTCTCACAATCAATAAATTCTAGCCTTAATATGATATCTAACCTTTAAACTTTACCTTAAACCTAACCTACAACTAAATCATACCCCTAACCCTAACCAATACTTTAAAGCCTGGAACATACCTTGGATCAACAGACACACGCTTTTAAACTGATATTATTATCTTTTATTTGGCAAGAGACAACATAAAGAAACTGAACACTAAACAATAGCATGATTTGAAGTGAGTCACACGGATACCAAGAAAAGAAAAAAATTAACTAAAATAATTATCAGCCGAAGGTCTTCTATTCCAAAAAAGGAAGGTCTAATCTTTTATTTGACTGTCTTATCTTAATGATAAAAAGATGACAAATAATTAGGGCACAATTGCAGGTCTATATATAGTTACAAACTATTTTTTACTGGATCTCTGTTGAAGTTGACAAGATTTGTATCAGTAAGTCTGGTTTATGTCTGGCTCGACCAATTTGAGTTCTGCAGGGGGTGTTTCACAAAACTTGTCATCAGTGACAAATGACAGTTTGTGTTATAAGCTACTGAAATTCTTGCTTCTGATTGGTTATCAGCAAATTTGTCAGTGATTTTTTCCATTTGTCATTGAAAAAAGCCTTTGTGAAACACCCCTCTGAGCTTCGACACTACCCAGTTGCTCACCTCAGGACAGGTTTTGGCGTAGACTCGATGCTCATCTCGTCCGGGTCCATGTCAGGACCACTGTCGCTGTAGTTGATGAGGCTCAGATCGTCGTAGAGGAAGTCCTCATCGATCGGGGTCTGGTCCTGGTCCTCGAAGGGATACGGTTCCGTGTCACTCTCGTCACTGGCGACCTTGAACTTTCTCAGCAGGGCGATGAACTTCTGCTTGAAGTTTCTTTGCTGTAAAAACAGGATCGATTAAATTCTATTAACTTGTGTGTCTTGTCTTTATCTATGCATCTTTAAGAATCCTTTTCTATAATTAAGGCTCCAGACCAATCTCGTTTGAAATTTTCAGCAACTGTATGCATGAATACCTTGTCAAAATTTAGAGAAATATTTTGGGTGCTACACAATCATCAAGTATATATTTTAAAGTCCTAAAATACCTAGAAGTAGCCTATGCTCTTGAGCAACAAATTACAGGTGTGATGATCAGCAAATGTTTTTTAATTTACATTTGGGCACTGTTTTCGATATTCCCCTAATTTCACCTCACACACACACATACACACATTAAGAGAACATAGTACAATAAACCCTACCTTCAAGCTTCTAAATTATATTACATATGGTATCACATTATGTAAAAGAAACATACAGTATATATGCTTAACAAACAAAAAATATAAACAAACATAAAACAACAAAGAATCAAGGGACTCGAAAGTAGAGGGATCAGAAACTAAATCATCCTGAGAAGATTCTTGTCATAACAAGATATAAAATTCCTTCAGGAAGAACAAAAACACATATTTCCTTTCAACTCCCATTTGCTTTCAGTTTTCTCCTGTAAACATATCAGGTAGTATGGAACAGGTGTGAAACCATCGTCCCTATTTGGTTTATGTTATGTGATATAGTTTCTTATACACATATCTCTGAGGATCTATGTTCCATAACAATGCAAAATTGTATTCAGAAGGTTTAATCTAATTTAACAAAATCTTGGGCTAATTTTCTACTCAGTAGAAAAATGATGCCAGTATGACAAATATTAGCATGTTCCACTGTACTGCTTTTAATTACAAGAGATTTTAAAAACTTATCTATGAGATGTCTTTGTAAGATGTTTTAGGGGACAGTTTTCACTCAAAGGCTCAAAGCTGTAGCTTTTTCTTCCACTTTAAAATTCTGAACTGCTTACAGCTGCTTATTCATTACTTTCTTCTTTTTAGGGAGGAATATTCAATTCAATTTTTTCTTTATACTTTCATTACCTTTTTTTGTATTACTTTCATCTCCCCCCCCCCCCCACCCCAACAGAGAAAAGGAGAGACATGGTTCTTCATATCAATGTTTTTCAAGAAAACATTCCCTTACTCCAAAGATCCCCAACTGTATTGTTATTCTTGTTTTTATCATTATTATGGAATTACATGAATCATGCACCACCACATTTCATAATTCAAAGCAAGTATGTTATCAACATCCAGCTGTAATCATTTATAAACTATTCAATAAAGTAAAAACATAAAATCCTAATAATTAAATTATTTGGTTTGAAGACACTTACATAATGTTGGAGGATGATGACAAAATTTAGAAGAAAAGTAATTGAGCTTACAGGCTTCGAGAATAAAGAAATATACAGATACAACACATGTATTTTTGATAGACAGATAGAAGGACATGCAGACAAACAGTGGCAGGCAGAAAAAGGAAAGAGAGATGGACAACAAAACATATCCAAATACCAGGACAAATCTTGCTTTCTAGTATAAGAGATATTTGTGGACACACATAACAATAAATTCATTAATTCCTCTCATTTTTTTTATATTTCCCATCCTTGGGATGACTAGAAAAACTATATCATTCAAGGTATTTACGAGCGAGAGATGGTGGTGATGATTAATTCCTCCCATCTACAATACTCAAGGATGCTGTTTATCATTAGCAGCATATCTTCAATTGGAGTGGGAGTAAACTGCAGACAGAAGATGATATGATAAACTAAGCTGTAATTCCAGCATGTGTGTGATATCTTAGGGACAGCGATGCAGCTGTTACAAGTCCAACATTAATATTGTGACTTGATTTCAACATATATTAGAAAAATAGATTAATTTTATGTCTGTGTCTCCAGGAAAGAATACAGGATTTGAGATGAAAAATTCTGAAGATATAATTGCACAACCTCACTACATGTATCTGATTTTCATTTCAGTGTAATTTTACTGATAGTCTTTAAAGTTTTATGCAAATGCCATGAATGGGGGGGGGGGGGTGGAATAAAATGCCTAATGCACATTGCATGTTTATCTGAACATATTCTATATGTACCACCTTAATACAGGTTCATCCGATCATTTGAAGTACTAGTAAAAGACAAATAAGTTTACTTAAGCAGTTTTTACCATTTGGTGTTTGTTGAAAGAAAGAGGAAATGAAATCAACTGTATAACAAGTAACAAACACACCACCAAAACACAAAATATAATATAATAACATAATTTTGTTTATATGTCAATGATCACTAGTTATTATATAAGAGATAATTTATTTTGTAATAATATAAAACTAATAATTGTAGTATCCTTACCCTCGTAGCATTGTGAATCTTGTTTCCTTTCCTCCCTGGTTCATGCTCTTCTTCACCTTCACCAAGAAGATCCTGAGGAAATAGAAAAAAGGAGAAGAAAAAAAAAAACATACACATACGTTCTATAATTTATCCTGCATATTTCTTCTTCAGAAGAATAGTTTTACTACATGATCAGATGGAAAATGTATATACATTTACAGGATTTTGTAATAAAAAAAAAGGGGGAAGGGAGTACCTCTCCGTCCCTTGTAAAAGTGTACGTCTCCATCCAGTGCCAGACCTGCTACTCGTTCAACCAGGAGATCACACACTAAGTCTTACATCGAAATGAGTTCAAACAAAGATTTCTTCAAATATTCATTCCTTCTGAAAGCAATTGCAGACTGGAACTATTTACCACCATCCACAGTTCTATTCAAAATCCTGACCTATTCAACGCTCATGTGCAACATCATTTTCAATAGTATTATTCTATTAATACATGTGCACACCCAGGCTGATTCGTTTTTACTCCATTAGGAGTGTTGAGCCACATTACATCAGATTTGGATTCAGGGGGTTTATAATTCAACCCTTCCCATTCTGACAAATAAAAGGTACAATGAAACCTGTATATAAAGGCCTATCAAGGAAAATATGAAAAGTGGTGTTTATAGACAGGCAGTCTTTCTACACAGGTGGTTGCTAAAGCAGGTTTGACTGTAGTAATGAATAAAAACAAAGGTCAAACTTTGTTTTAATGGGGGAGGGGGGTAGCAGACCCCTGAAACACCCCCAAACTGCTTTGTATCACTGTATTGTAACAGGATGAGAAATTACTAGTACATTTTTCTGAAATTTTCAGACATTGTACTGCAAAGTGCAGTTTTAATAGCAAAGCAAATATTTGGGCATGATTTTGAATATGAACTTGATCAAGAAACAAGGTCAACATTCATTGATGTCGATTATCGTGAGAATTATAAACATCCAAGGAGTTCCTCAAAAGAAGTATTGTATGTATTGAAAAGTTTCTTTGTACAACTACAAATGTGTTTTCCATGAATGCTCCTTTAGCTATAAGTCATTGTATATTGTTCATTTTATTGCTTCTCTATTCAAATTCTCCTTGTGTGAAAAGGTCCTTAAATATTGTGACTTTTACACTGACTCATCACTCGTGGATGACATATAGCGCTTTGTATTCAGTGGAAAAGGCGCTATATAAATTGCAACTGTTCTTCCTCTTCTTCTCAGTACTATTGACGACATGAATTACAATCTTTCAAAGCTGTAAGATTGTTCGCATAAATATTGGTGAAATTATTCTGATCTGTAACAGAACTGATGTGAGTCAAATTATGAAAAGAAATGAAAAAATATAAATATATATACATAGCAATTTAGATGTTTATTTTCTCATTGCAGGGGAGAAAATCAAAATGAGATTGAGAGTCTTTATGTTTATTTTTAGAGGATTAATTTATGGGAAAAGAAATGGATAATAGGGCAGAGGGTTTACGGAGATGAAAAAAGAGGCCTATGGGGAGAGAGAAATGAGGCGAGAGAAGAGTAAGGTAAATGGGAAGATTGAAAACTGTAGATGGAAGGAGGGAGTAAGATTAGGGTTGGAGTTGGGAGGAGTTGGGAGGAGAGAGGAGGAGGATGACAGGAAAGAGAGATGTGTAGGGACGTTCGGGAAAGGGGTGGATTAAAAGAGAAGAAAGCCTGAAAAAGATATGTTGACCATGGTGAAGAGCAATATGTCTTTATATCGTTCATTGAGAGCTAAAACGGTGTTTACTCCCACTTTGAAGGCCATGCATGTACAGTTTGGGTAAGTCCTCAAATACTATTCACCAGATTTATTTGATTTTCAATGATAAATATGAAGATAATAGCAATACTAAGCTGCTGTCGTGTTCTTTTCCTCCTCAAGAGAATATGAAATAAATGAGAGGTGAAACTAATTTATAAGATACACATCTTGGGATGTAAATTATGACAACGGCAACCTGCACTACACATGCGTAATATTCATGAGGACTGTGTGCATACGCTATAGTCTGTACATGCACTAGCTTTAAAGGATGAGCTGACATAGTGCCGGGGGCCATCAGGGTGTGAGGGTCCTAGCGTAGGGGAGTGTGTAGCCATTACCCACCACGCCGTGCATATATTTACCAGAAATCATCCATAAAATACCAAATGATCTTGTATATCTTTTGATTCACTTAAAACATAAGACTAAACTGTCTAAACATTAAACATGTTCTTTCCAATTTTCTTTCTCTGCCACCAAACCTGCAAAAGAACATTATCTTGCTAATAGTTCTTAACTTTCCGGTTCTGTATATATTTTTTCGCCCCGACTGCTCTACTTCTATACAGGTGCATATACATTATTCCGTCCCTTCTAAAGGATATTAAAGTACTCGACAGCCCTAGTAATGCAAAGCGACATCGGTCTTGACAGCCTGCATTCATTGCATTATCTTCAGATGATGAAGAGTCGTAGAGGAGGAGATGAAAGATTAAGATGGCCCTGACACAGTTCTTGACATAAAACTCTCATCTGATTAGATCAAGACCCATCTACAAATGTACACTTCATCTAGCATTAAAGGTTCGTTTACAGATAACCCATAAAACCGTGGCATTTGTATTTATTTTTGGTAGATGAAAGGCAAGTGGGGATGAAAAAGGTAGCCGATCGAGTGGAACTAAGGTTCTATGAATTCTAACTTATCTGTTTGTTAAAAGATACAGAAATGTGAAGTGTATTATGCTGAAACTTGTCATTGCAACAGAACTGCTACTTCACCACGTCATATGTGAAAGCACCTTTGACATACATTAACTTTAATAAAAAATGGAATAACAGCTCTTCTAGCTCTCAATAGACTACTCCAAGATGTATTCAAGATACTGACTTAAAGTAGTGTAAAGGTCATACTTTAGGTCACACTTTAGAGCCAGTAGGATGTTAAAACATTCACTTAAATATAGCTTGAGAGCTATAGGGCACTAACTCTCAAGAGGCATCTTTGAGATGATTCAAGATACAGTGACTTATACAATTAGAGTGGTCACAAGGAAGTAATGTGCAGTTTTTCACACGTTTCGCTGAGAACCAGAAGGGCGTTACCACATTTCACTTAATAAACAGGGTTAATTCTCTTCTATATATGTCAGTAGCTCTCACCAAACAACTTTGACATGTAATTGAGATATTGACAGGGAACTCATGTCCGCCTTGTCTGCTGAGAACCAAAAAGGCATTAAAGCGATTCACTTATTCATAAGGCTAATGCCCTTCTACATGTAAATGTAGCTCTCAATAGGCAACTTCTAGATGTACTCCAGGGGGGCATTTCACAAAAAGTGGCAAATGACAATTTTTGTTATAAGCTACTGAAATCCTTGCTTCTGATTGGTTATCAACAGATTTGTCACTGATTTTTATCATTTGTCCTTTGAAAAAAGGGTTTGTGAAACAGGTCCCAGATGCTGACTTATGCAATTAGTAGAGTGACCACAGGGAAGCAATGTAAGATTTGACTGCTCAGGGCCAGAAGGGCGTAACACACTCACTAATACATGGTCTAATAATGCCCTTCTATCTCCCGAAAAGGCTTCTAGATGTACGCAAGATGGTGACTTATGCAATTAGTAGAGTAGTCATGGGGAAGTAATGGAGAAAGCACTAATTGATGGAATATCCCGCACGGATTCGTGCCATCCTGACCTGGAGAAAATTAATGGATGGTCACGAAAGTGATCTTCAAATTTCTAAGCCAGCATTTCTACTGGTTTTGCATACTGGCTCATGCGTAAACAAGTATGCTGGTTCATGAAACCAAACAGTTATTTACGAAAAAAAGAGAATTTATGTTTATTCATCTATTGAGAGCAAGAAGGGCATTCATTAACAATCAATTTCTGTACAACCTTCTGTATCTCAACAGGCAATGTATTAATTAACTAAAATAAAATAAGAACATGGGCTGTAATAAAAATTTATAACAATTCATTTCAATAATATTCAATTCAACATAATAATTGCGTTTAACATTATTTGTTTAATGCATAAAGCCATGTTTTCCTTTCCATTGAACTATTATATGTCAATAATATACCTTTTAAAACCATATATCACGTTTTCTTGTTTTTTTACTGTAAATATGATTTCAGTCTCCGGACTTGTGCCATGTCTTTTCTTCCTTTCTTTGTTGTTTAAACAATAAAACTAAAATTGAATTGAATTGACTTGTATATTGGTTGTTTTGTTTAACATTTAATTTGTTAGTAAAGAAATAAAAGGCAATTACATTTGCAAATAAACGTTTTCTGCTCCTCATGACTAAACTAAGAGAAAGTTTAAACTGGTTCATTACAGTCCAAACTAGTTAAATCTTGCTCTTTCAAACTATTAAAAGAATCATATATAGGTGCACCTTCCATTTCCATTACCAAGCAGTGCCTTCAAGCAGTGCCTTCAAGCAGTGCCTTTAAGAAGACCCAAACTGAAATCAGTGATCACTGGACAGTTAAAATTTCTAGTTTAACCTTGCTTTTATCAAACTATTAAAAGGATCATATAAGTGCAGGTATATTAAAGAATCATCCCTTTTTATCACCAATCAGTGCCTGGAGAAAGACACAAGCTGAATCACTAATCACTGGACAATTAAAATTTCCAGGAGATGATCCAGGGTTTCCATTAAGTTTCTGAACGGAAATATGGTCAAACTGGCATGCATCCTTGAAATAGGGATTTTATGGGGCATGTCCATCTATAACACAAAGTCCCAAAATAGAAAGCCTCCAAGCGTACTTTGAACACATCATCAGGACGTGCAAAAACTGATGATGATCCTTAATGCTAGCCCCAAATCGTGCAATAAAATATTAATAAAATAAGAAGGACCTTGAGTCCTTTTTTTGTGTGGCTATAAAATCTATTGGAATAGGATGAATTTGGCCACTTTTTTCAAAGCATTTTATAGATAACTAATCATTCAATATGCCATGTCTTGCTTAAACCTTAAAACTGAAAGAAAAAACTGAGAAATTTGCTTTTTGTAAGG